CAATCCTCACCTCCCTCCAACGTACGCTCCTCACCTCCGTCCCCCCTTCCTATTCTCCCCACCTCCCTTCCCCTCTCTCGCTCCCTCCCTCCAACACGTACTCTCCTCAGCTCTCTACCTCCCTCCTTCCCTCCTATACTCCTCACCTCCCTCCCTCCCTCACTCGCTCCCTCCCTCCCTCTTGCTCCCTCTCTCCTATACGTGCTCTCCTCACTTCCCTCCCCCCTATACTGCTCACCTCTCTCCCTCCCTACCTCCTACATTCCTCACCTCCCTCCCTCCCTCCTACAATCCTCACCTCCCTCACTCCTATATGTCGCACTTCTCTCCCTCCTACACTCTTCACCTCCCATTCCCCCTCACGACTTCACTCCTCACCTCCCTCCCTTCTACACACCTCACCTCCTTTCCTTCTACACTCCTCACCTCCCTCCCTCCATCCTACACCGCTCACCTCCCTCACTCCCTCCCTCCTGCACTCCTCACCTCCCTCCCTCCTACGCTCCTCACCTCCCTGCCTCCCTCCTACACGAGAGGGATTCTGAGATCAATTGGATTTTGCGGTGATTCTGATCCGAAAGTAATTCTGATGAAGAGCTCAGTGGTTAGAGCACTCGCTTTGCAAGCGAGAGACCTGAGTTCAATTCCAGGCAGAGGGCGAAACCTTGGTCAAGTTTCCTTACTCCACACAGAGCCTAATAATAATCCCTCCAAAACAAAAAATAATAATAAATTGGTCATTTTCAATCTACGACTGTTTGTGGGACATTGCTGTGCGCAATTGGCTGCCGCGTTCGCCCACAAATATACAGTCAATTCACTTTACAGTATATTCTGTGAAGCGCTTTGGGACGTCCTCCTGACGTGAAAAGCGCTATATCAAATGCAAGGATTATTATTATTATTATTATTATTATTTCTGGGGAGGAATCTGTCTCTGCCAAATAAAAGTCGTGGTGAATAAACTCTATCCCTGTCTATTTCTGTGCGCTTACACTCAACCCTTGCACACTAACTCGCTCGCTCGCTCGCACGGGCGCTAATACACTCAGCCATAGATTCACTGAGCGACAGAAACAGACAGCGAGCGAGACTGTGAGTGTGAGTGAGAGAGGGAGAGACTGAGCGAGATGGGGAGGGGGACAATGGGCGAGAGGGAGAAGGGGAGAATGAGGGAGTGAGAGGGAGAGAGATGTGATGGAATAATGAAAGGAGTTGTTGTGAACATGTCAAGAACCGTTATGGTCTGTGAGAATATAAGCTCAGGATGACTTTCCATGGACAATATTCCCTTAATAAAACAACAGCAATAACAACAGCAAGATTGCATACAGCGCCTCTCACGTCGGGAGGACACGCCGATAAAAATAGTAATAGAGAGGTTGCAAAATAGTAATAATCCCTTAAATAACTATGTGATATGTCATATGTGATATATCTCCATCCTCCTGACCGTCTGCTGTTATTGGTGTCTCCATTAAAACAGCGATCACATCATCTTCAAATCGCTGTCAGATGTCCTTTGATTTCTACAGCCTTACAGAATCCCTTCGTAGTCACTCTCACCCGCTGAGTGTCCAGTGTCTCTCTGTCCCTAATTTTTCATTCCCTTGAACCTTGTAAAATATTGCTCTGATCGACCTTTCGTGTGGTTTGAGCTCCCGGTTCTGCCGGGTGTCGGCATAGCTCAGTTGGGAGCTCACTCAGCTCTCGAGTCAGGAGGTTGGGGGTTCGAGCCCCCACATGCGGACTGTGAGCTGATGGTCGAGGCTGACGGATCCCGATGTGGTGGTGGAGGAGCATCGCATGGTCAGAGGGGCCGACCTTCAGGTGAGATGTGGAGCCGAGGCCGTGTCGGGCTGTTCAGGTGGTACCAAACTTTCCATTTCACTTGGCAAAGAGGAGGGAGTTTCTCCCGGTTTCCTGGCGGTTTGTGGCTCATTGCTGACAAAACTGTTGTGGAGTCCTGTAGCTCAATGGTTAAGGCAACTCCCCGATCGAGAGATTTGGGTTTGATACCCGGCAGTTCAGGTCAGGGCGAAGCCTTGTGCAAGTTTTCTTACTCCACACACACACACACACACACACACACACATCTGATAATAATACCTCCAAAGAACAAAACAATAATAGGTGCAGAATTGGGAATGTTTCGCGCCGATGTACTTGGAAACCCGGGAATCTTGGGATTCTACAACCGATTGCATTCGGTTTTCACGGGTTTGGGGTTAAAATCAAAACACAATGTTAATGCAAAAATCTGTTGATATATTCGACAGTAGTGCAGAATTGAGGATATTTTGCACCGATGCACTTAATATCCCGGGGATTCGGAGAGCTCATAACCCGCTTCATGTCTTTATACATTGGGGCGTAATTGAACGGTTTCTCTTGAAGCCTCGCGCGGTCGTTCCCCCTCCCTCCCGGTCTCCCTCATACCGTCACCTACAGCCATGCGCGCGTGCGCAGACGCTCCCCCTTTCCCACCCACACTCGTGTGCCACGAGTTCGAGACACGGCACCTTCTCTCCTGGTGACAATTCGTAATCCAGGGGGAAAAACATCTTCATTTAAATTATATTTCGCGCTTAAAAAATAAAACTCTCACGCGACTTCTCGGGCTGAAATTATACATGTGAAATGATACTTCGCCTTAAAATGCGAATTGAGGACAATTGACACCAAAAACTCTGCAGAAACGCGGGAAGCGGGTTTGCATCAGTGCAACTTCTTCCTAATTCTGCATTAATCCCAATAATCCCAATGGGGTTTTGCATTGACTTTGTATTTCAATAGTAACCCGCTCTCTTGGTGCAAACACGGGAAACGGGTTTAAAAGTCCCCAGATCCCCGGGGTTTAAAGTGCATCAGCGCAAAATATCCCTAATTCTGCATTAACCTGAAACATGTCAACCGCTTTTTGAATGAAATCTCTCCCTCTCTCTCACTCTTTCTCTCTTTCAATCAGTCGCTGGAAGCTCTGTTGCAATCTGGAGACAGGTAGGGGCGGTGATAGGGTGGGGCTGTTTCTAGAGGCGGGACGAGGGCTGGGGGCGGGGCAGCAACTGGAGGTGGGGCTAGGGATGTGTCTGAGGCTCGGGTGGGATGGATGCTAGAGGTGGGGCTCGAGCTCGGTGGGTGGCGGGGTCGGGGTTGGGTTGACGCTAGAGGTGGGGCGGCCGCGAGGGGGGGTGCTGCATGACGTATTTCAGTCTGTGTACTAAATTTGGTAATTAAAGCGAGGGCGTTCCTTTCTTAAAGGGGAAGGAGGATTATTTGCGGTTGTGTTGGGGGTGGCGTAACCCACTGTTGATGATAGTAACAATCCTTGTGATTGTTATAGCGCCTCATCACATCTTCGAGACGTCCCAAAGCGCTTTATAGGATACACAGTAAAGTGTAGTGACTGTATTTTGTGGCTGAGGGAGAGAGGGAGGGAGAGAGAGAGAGAGACACGAACAGTGTTATAACGGGAAGTGACTGTGTTTTCTCGGATGGGAAGAGAGGGGGAGAGAGAGGAACAAGGACGTGACGTAAAGGATAGTGATTGTGTGTCTCGCTGGAAAGTGTATTGTCTGTTGTTTTAATATTCCCTTTTCCGCACTCTTTCTCTCTCGCTCGCTCTCACACACTTACATTCTCTCTTTCTCCCTCTCCCTTGCACATTCAGTCCCTCTCGCTCACACACACTCACAGTCTCTCTCACACAGTCTCTCTCTCTCTCTCTCTCTCTCTCTCTCACACACACAGTCTCTCTCTCCGACACTCACTCTCTCACAGTCTCTTTCTTTCTCTCTCCCTCTCACACTCTCTCTCTCACAGTCTTCTGGCTTGCGAGGCGAAGGGTCTAAACCCCTGAGCTACATGGTCCGTGACTTGCACAGTTAATGCAAAAAGTTAATGGAAAAAGTGGTTTATTTGGTTAATATTAATGCAAAATTGGGAATATTTTGCACTGATGCACTTTGAACCCCGGGGTTCTGGGTATTCTTTGATCCGCTACATTTGTTTTTCTCAGGTTTGGGGTTAAAATCTACACACAAAGTTAATGCCAGCAATCTATTCATATATTTGATATTAATGCCGAGTTAGGAATGTTTTGCACTGATGCACTTAAAATTCTGGGGTTCTGGGGAGTTTATAACCCGCTTCATGTCATTATAAATTGGGGTTTAATAAACTGTTACTCTTTGAACACCGGGAATGTGGGTAATTTGCAACCCATTTTCTCGTGTGTTACTCAGAGAAGGGCCGAATATTATAATAATGAGATAATGGAGAAAGCAGTTTATTTGGTTAATATCAATGCTGAATTGGGAATATTATGCACTGTTGCACTTTGAAACCTGAATATCTGGGGATTCTATAACACGCTACTTATGTTTGTCGCTTGGTTTTCGGATTAAAGTCAAAAGAATAAGTTAGTGCAAAAAGCGGTTTATATGGTTAATATTAATGCAGCATTGGGGACAATTTCCATTTAAACGGTGAGAAAAAATGTATTATGAAATATAGTGTTTGTGTTTTACGTGAGCGAGAAAAAGATAGAGACTGAGAGAGACTGAGATAGAATGACTGCGAGAGACAAAGAAAGACAGAGAGTGGCAGAGGAAGAGAGTGAGGGATCCTGAGGAATAGACAGATAGAGAGACTGAGAGCGAGATTGAGAAAGAGACTGAGAGAAAGTATATTATGCAGTGAATGTGTGTTTTGTGAGAGAGACTGAGAGGAGAGCCAGAGAGAGAAAGTGAAAAACGGAGACCGAGAGACAGAGAGAGAGATAGAATATGTGAGAGACTGAGAGAGAATGAAAGAGAGAATGAGGAAAAAAGACTTAGAGGGAGAAAGATTGAGAAAGAGAGAGAAAGAGAGTCACACACACACAAACATACACACAGAAAGAGAGAGAAAGAAAAAGAAAGGAAGAGAGCCCGGGGGAAGGTGTGTGTCAGGGTTTATGTGATAATAACTGTCCTCAGAGGAGGGATGGGAGAGGAATCAGGATTAACATCTTTAATAATCAGTCACTAAAGTGTCCAGAATATATTCCATATTACACAGACTGTGTGGACAGTCACTGCATAAGTCAGTGTTACACTGTCACTGACAGCTCAGCTCTGATTCCCCGCCGTGACTTCAGCTGATTCAGTCCGTCTGAACTGAACCTATTCTCCCACAGCCTGAAACACATTAAACAGGAAATAAACCCATGGGATAATGGTACAAACTGTAAACTGTTCATGTCGCAGTTAAATAAATAAATCCCTTCAAACTGTTCCCATTCTGATACGCAGCCCTTTCTCTATGGGTTTGTCACATTAAACACTGACACACACACTCACCTGATCTCCTCCAGACTGGTGCAGGTCTGTATGAGGCGGCGGAGAGCGGGACAGAGCCGTCTGTGAAGGAGTTAAACCCCAGGTCCAGGATCCTCAGTGAGCGGCTTGTACTGAGAGGGGAGACGAGATCATCAGTGCAGCCATCGGTCAGACTGTTACCCCACAGCCTGGAGATTAGTGGCACAGAGACATGACAGGGATCAGAGTAAACACAGTGTTCATAACCCACTGTAACTCAGTGTCTGCAAATTCACAAAAAACCTGTTTCCTTCTGACTGCTGGTAAACAGGGGACTGTGGAGTACGCAAACTTGCCTGATGTTTCGCTCTGACCGCCCTCGAGAATCATCCCCATATTCTCTCACTAGCGAGGCGGGTGCTCTAACCATTGAGGTACAGGACATAGACTTCAGTGTCTGAGTTGAAACAGACTATCTCATCACTAAAGCTATGTAGACTTTCCTCTGGTGAGATTTGTGCCGACGGGGTTTTACTGTATGGTCACGAAACAAAATAACATCTCAGGACCTGATTTCTCCACCGAAAATATATTTCCATACGGAGGCGAAAGCCGGTTGGGAATATGGATGGAATCGTTGAACACAGTCAGTTAAATAACTCGGCTCAGGAAATCCCCAAACTCTTGCATAAGTGAGATATACAGTTTGCAGGAATGCACACGCACACAGGCACACTCACACAGAAACACACGCATACAGACACACACATGCAGACTCCTAAAATGTACAAACGTACCACCCACACAAATATAAACATACATACACATACCCCCCCCACACACGAACATAACACCGACCCGTACACAAACACACAAACACGAAAACAAGCGCACTTGTCAGTGACGGTCTGCATCATGTGTGACGATCACAAGTCGAGTTCCTGAGCCAAGAGGGTTGCAGAATACAATTACATTCATTGCTGATTACAGCATATTCAATACCTCACCCCAAAAGCCACAGAAATCCTTGTCTGTGCCTTTGTCACCTCTTGGCTCAGCTATCAAATGCCTTCCTCGCCGATTTCCCCTCCATTACCATTCATAACATTCAAGGCATCAAAAACTCTTCTGCCCGCATTCTTGCGCTGAACAAATTCTGCTCCCCAATAACCCCAGTCCTTGGCCGACTTCACTGGTTGCCTCTCCCGTAGAGGAACGACTTCAAGATCCTCGCTATTGTGTTCGAATCACTCCTCTTCTCTGCCCCCTCCGACCTCTCTGACCTCCTCCCTACTCATAAAAGTTTTCGTTGCCTTCGTTCCTCCGAGTCTGACCTTGTCCTTGTCCCCCGAATCCGCTCAACTATCGGCGGCCGTGCCTTCAGCCACTATGCCCCGAGGCACTGGAACTCCCTTCGTCACTCCCTTCGCCTCGCTCCCTCACTTCTGATTTTCAGATCACGTCTGAAGACCTTTCTTTACGACGGCGACTTTCGTCAACATCATGCCCTTTCCCCTGGCTCGGTTCTGGGATCCGTTTTTGTGAAGCGCGCCGAGACGTCGTCCGGCGTGGAGGGCGCTATATACATCCAAGTTGTTGTTGTTTTGACAGAGAAACCAAGCCTGGCTCATCGGCAGGACTTGGCAGGTGAGACCAGTCACTGCGGGCAGGGAGACTATCCTTACAGCTGCTGCTCAGCACGCAAGCCAAAGCGCTCCGAGAGAGACGGAGATAGAGAGAAGCGCTGATCCCAACAAGATAGGCAGCGGGAAGCAAAGATCTACAGCTTCAACTCCACAAGTGAACTTAAAGCCAAGTACGGGTCCCTAAGCCTTGACACTGGTCAAACTGCTCCTAATAATATCTGGGATGATGTGAGCAGGGGGTGTCCTTCCGGACAGAGGATGTGCCTCCATTCCTCACACACACATATCTCCTGTCAGATTTGGAACTGTCAGGAGGTTGGTTTGGAGAGTTTGAAGCCTGGTGCCAGGTTTGTGTGTGTGTCAGACACCCGTCTGACAATAGTGGAGAAACACAAACCCACAGTGTGTGGAGGGATTGACGGGACCAGGGCAGGAGCTTGGGGATTAGACACAATGGGAGCGGGTGTGGGGCTGGAGCCAGTTTAGGGGTCAGAGCTGTGACTGTCCACATGGTAATAGAGCTGAGGTTTCCAGCACTTGGTGTATTATTAATACGTGTTGAGAGTTTGATGTAAACGATGGCTTGTGCCCTCGCACTGTCACACCGATTCCTGTCACAATATTCAGGCGCACTGATCAGACCATCACAGTAAACACATTGAGATATTGGAGTCATTCAGACTCTGGAGATACAATGTGTTACATACCACAGACTCTTTATTTTACACTCCGGATTCCTCAGGGCCTCACACAATCGCGTCACACCGGAATCTCCCAGTTCATTCTTATTCAGGTCCAGCTCGGTCAGTGAGTGGTTTGTCGTGAGAGCGGCGGCCAGATCCTCGGTACAATCAGCTGTCAGGTTGTTATCCCCCAGCCTGGAGATCAGAGCCACAGAGAAATAGCAGACATCAGAGTAAACACATTGTTTATTACTGTTTATTGCACAGCGGGGGATCAGATGCACGGAGATATATGAGATCAGAGTAAATATAACGTAAATAGTTAGAGATTCTGGATGGGTTGCGTTGTCTTATACTGAAGGAAAGGGCCGGCTCCTGACATTTTTGCCGCCTTCACTTTAAAATATAGCTGTGTTTGGAATAGACACTTACATTCAGGATTGAAGGTTTGGGTGTGGGTTGGTGAAATTCGAAACAGACTGAGTGTCCCAGAGTGTGTGTTGGGAAGAGGAGGGCGCGTGTGGCTAGGAGGGAGTGTGTTTGGGGGGGGGGGGGGGGGTGCTGTGGTGTGCGTGTCTGCTGCAGTTTATCCGACTAAAGTTGCATTGCGTCCCCAATGAGATATTTCCGGCTGAAAACACCAACTCACAACCTTCCCAGCTGAAAATATTGTGTCTCACGGGGTTATCAGAAGCCGAGTGGGAAGTATCTCTTCTCTCAGTGATTTACACTGAAAATCCATCCGCTGTGCCAAACCTTGTAGCATTTATGATCTCAGAATTAATACATCGACAACTGCTCAGGTTATAATAATTCATGTTAACAACCAGATACTGACACGATAGCTACTTACTCCAGTTTCTCTATTTTACAATGTGTGTTCCTCAGAGCCTCACACATTCGCTTCACTCCAGAATCTCCAATGCTATTGACCCCCAGCCTGGACACAGAGACAGAAACACAGTGAATGTAGGATAACAATAGAATAAACATTGACATCTATATGCAGTAGGCTTTCATGTGAGAAACATGTTCCGAAGGCGCTGTGACCAGGTTCAGAGACATTCCGTGCTCACAAACACATCGTTCCTAAGTCGGTTTGATTCGCAAAACAGCTGAGAAATATATTGCATTTAAAGGGAAGGAGTTGAAAGGTTCGAGCGGCCAACAGTCTCCCAGGCAACAATATCAAATCGAGTTTCACAAGGAGCCATACAATGAGGGTTTGAAACTGAGCTGCGCGTTGTGATCAGAGAGGGATTTGGGTGGGAGGAAAACCGAACGGAGGGTCAAAGAGGAAGATCTTGAGACGGGCTTTGAAGGAGATAAGAAAGGTGTTGGGATGGAGGTTCTCTGGGATTGAGTTCCAGAGGATGCGGGCAGAATGTGCAACTGACGATGCTGGAGAGGGCAGGGAGGGGGACATGGAGTAGGCCAGTGCCCGCCGAGCGGAAGCAATGAACAGGTTGGTAACGTTGGGAAACACCACAACCACCCTGTCGCACACCCAAGTGTGGCAGGTCCCTGGGTTGACACACCTGTCCCTTTAAGCCATTATCCTCTTCTAGTTCCAACAGCTGAGGCCCCACAGCATTAACTCCGCGCAGTCAACAGCCAAGGCTCCTCCGGCACATATGACTAGGACACAGGCTTCCGTTGTCCTGTCCGCAGCGCAGCAGGTCCTGCCCGAGATACTGTCGAAGAGCAGTGAGAGCCTCCCGGCAGTTTACTCACTCCCATTTGTGTGACACAGTAAAGGTGTGACTGATCTCATCACTCCCCACCATAACCCAATAAACAGAAATCACCAACACCCCCGCCCCCACCCCACCACCCACACCCATATAGTTGCATCCGTACTACAAGTCCTCATTTCAGAGCTGTTCAGCCCAGGTTACTATCCTTGCCCACGACCGGTATCCATAGCCAGTCATATTTGTTTAAATGATCGGGGGGTGAGGACAGGGCTGTGGGACCAGCTGATTCCATGGGCGGCTGTTCAGGCCCTGAGCAGCCGCAACAGATCAAGGGAGGCAGCGAGTCGAAAGGATTGCGAGATGTAGTTTGAAAGGATGGGGTCAGAGAGGATGAAAGCTCGGCCGCCGATTGTAGGGGGCATCGGGCGGGAGGTACGGAGGAGGCCACAGCGTGTTGAATGGAAGGAGCGGGCAAGTTGATAGGGGATTAGAAGATTGGAGAGGTAGGAGGAGTTTGAAAGTGAGTACGAGGATTTTGATTTCTATTCGCTGAGGCATGGGGAGCCAGTGGAGCCAAGGTGATGGAAATAGGGTCACAGGGTATATTGCGGTATAGGATATGAGCTGCAGAATTCTGGATGATCTGCAGCTTATGGAGGTAAGATTTGGGAAAGCCGACAAGCAGAGCATTGGACACCCTGAGTCCGGATATAGTGGAAGCATATTTGAGGGCTTTGGCGGCCTTGTGCTTGAGGCAGTCCTGGACTCGGACAATGCTGTGGAAGTGGAGCAAAGCAGAGCGGATAATATTAAGGATATGAATGATACAGGACTGTTGAGGGTCGAACAAGACGCCCAGGTTCCTGACACTTTTGGTGAGGTGGATTGTGCAACCATGGATGCTGATTCTGCCAGTGCCTGAGTTGGGGGGGTTGCTGGTGCAAGCCAATCAGGAGGACCTAGTTCTTGCTGACGTTTTTGCTGTAAAAAGTTAGGTCTCATCCAGCACTTGAACTCTGAGAGATATTCGAGTGTGGAAGCAGAGGGGTAGAGTTGGATGTCATCCGCATACATGTAGAAGTTGACTCCATCATCTGTGGTTCATGTCGCCAAGAGGGAGCACATATAGATGATGAAGAGAGGACCGAGGACAGAGCCCTTAGGAAAACGGAACGAGAAGGTGTAGCGGCTGGGGGAGAAACGGTTTCTGAAGGCAGAGTTAAGCTGGTGTGAGAGACAGCTTATGACCATAATAATAATGATAATAAGCGTTGCATTTGACACAGCACCTTTTCTCAGCAAGCTATCTTAACATGCTGGGCTGCTGGGTGTACATACAGAAGGAGCTACGCAGTGCCTGGATCTGGCAGCAACGCAGTTTACTCTGGTTCTATTTCAGCAACATTGCCACATTCGGTCAGTTTGTGAATAAAACTATTGACTTCGCTTTAGCCAGCCTGGACTGTCATCTCCCAGTTCAGTACAGTGGTTGTGAAGCTATTCTCTTATTCTCCAAAGAATGTGGATTCCAGATCTTGGAAAGTGAAACTCTGTGGCTGGGAAATCTCAGGAGCTGGAAATGGAGAATCTTAGCTACAGAAACCACAACTGCCAGGCTGATTTCAGCTCTGGGAGATGTGTTTGGGGTGAAATGTGTTGTAACCGAATTATAACCAATGTAATGGAGAGAGTAACTGACCCTGGATAAATGTGGTGTCCCAGCCCTCAGACCCGGAACACAGCCCGGGGTGGTTCTGAAGCTGGTAGGAGAGGACAAAGGAAACCTCCGTCCTAAACACATGGTTCACAGGTGTCAATCCTTGGGGCGTGAGCTGGGGGAAGCTTATAGGGTTAGAGGTTAGGACAGTTTCTGGAGTAGCAGAGACTCTGGTGTCAAGATAAAGCCGCACTGTTGTATGAATAAACCGAAACCACTGAATTAACTCGATGAGCGCAAACTCCGGTCTGTGTGATCTGATTCACGTCACAACATATTGAATCAAGTGAATATTCCAGTAGGGAGTCAGCAACGAATCCCAATAACATCAATAAGCTGTCATAAAAGGGCTCGCAATGTGGATCAGCAAGGTTTAAATTAGTAAGAGAGTATTTCACCTTCCAATCCCCCAGTGTGGTGTGTGGTGGCCACTAAAGTGTCAACAACTATTCCCTCCTGCTGTGTGATTTCATTCTTCAATTGATCAGCTGTTTGTTTTAATGTCAGTACAGTCTGTAGCTTTGAAATCAGAATAATAAGAAAACGAAATACAAACAGAGTAAACTTACTGCAACTCCTGACACTTATGCAGAACAGGAACCAGACGCTGGAGACCCTCATCCTGAATGTAGCAGCTCTTCAGATCCAGAAGTTTTATTGTGTCACACAGTCCAATGGCCTGAGACAACACAACACAATCTATCGGTGTTAGTCTCAATGCTTTGCTGGAAGAGTCATCACCAAATGCCAGTGTTTGTACAGAGCTCAGTGTTTGCTGTGCCAGGGTTTGATTCTGAGATTCAAATAGATAGTGGAGTTTGTTCAGCAGCTTTCTTTTCCCCCTGGTGCTCTTGCTGAATTTCGTGTCAGCTCCAAATTTCACCTTCAGCCAATTGATCACTGCGAAGGTTGTCTGTTCTTCAAATGGACCCAGAATCTCCCCCAGTGGCTGAGCTGCCCGTGGGGAGGAGAGACCCGCAACAAAGCGCAGGAATATCTCAAACCGGCCGTCATCTTCACTGCAAGTTTGATAAAGTCTTTCCTGAATACTTTCTGTATTTGGAGACAGGAATTGAGCGAGTGCAGCTAAGAACTCCTGGATGGTGAGGTGCGGGAAGGTGTACACCACGCTGTGCTCTGAAGACTCTCTCTCCACAAGCTCCATGAGAAAGCCAGAGAGGAACTGGAAAGGTTGGAGCTTAGTTTTGCTGAGATCCTCATCAGTAAAGACAATGTTGCACTGGGAGACTCCAGTGAAGGCCATCTCACCAATCTTCAGCATCACATCACGGGGGCTTTCTATCTTGACACTATGATGTGTTAGGATGTGGTAAATATAATAGGAGAAGAGTTGTGTGACTGTCTTGGGAACTTGCTGTTTGTTTCTGTGTGTCCGTGTAAAGAAGGGACCCAGAGACAGAGCGAGAATCCAGCAGTAGGACGGGTTGCAGCACATGGTGTGCAGGAGCTCGTTCTCCTCCACGTGGCTGTAAACAGCTGCCGCCACCTCCTGATCTTCAAAGAACTTGTGAAAATATTCCCTTCTCTCGTCACCCACAAACCCCAAGATTTCAGCCCAGACACTGATCTGAGCCTTTGCCAGTAAATGTAATGCAGTGGGGCGGCTGGTCACAAGCACTGAGCAGCCTGGCAGCAGTTTTTCTGTATTAAACTGTACACAATGTCAGACACATCACAGAGACATTCAGGGTCTGTGCACTTGCGCTGAGGCTCTGTGTCTCTCCGACTGTCAGCGAAATCAATCCTTGTCCTGAATTCATCCAAACCATCAAATATAAAGAGCAATCTCTCTGGATGTTTCCACAGCTCATCCAGAAAATCCCTGAGGTAAGGATACTGCTCCACCATTAGAACGCCCAATGTTGTTCTGTCGTAAAGTTTGTTTAGGTCTCGGAATTTAAAAACAAATACATAGTGGAAGTGAGGATAAATTTTGCCTGTGGCCCAGTCATGGACAATCTTTTGCACCATGGTTGTTTTGCCAATCCCAGCCACTCCACTGACTACTGCGGAAATCCCAGTGGGAGAGTCAGAAGCGCTTCCCTGAGAGGAATGTAAATGACTTCCTTTTGAGAAGCTGCTGTGGAACAGTTTATCAGTTCGGACTTTTTCCAGCTCTCTCTGGAGTTGCTTCTGTCTCCACTCCTCGTGGTCTCTGCCTCTCGCCAGCAGCTCATGTTCTACCAGTTCCCGTTCACGTACATCAGAAATAATTGTTAACTCCGTGTAGTGATCAACCAACTGAAACGTCCTCACCTTCTCCTTTATCAGGATGGTCTTCACTTCCAGTTTCTCACATTGTTTCTGTAACGTCTCCTTGTGCAGTCGCTGAATAGCTTCATGTTGAACATTACAAAATCATAAAGTAAATAGAAGAATTATTGAGCTTTATTAGTTAATAATACTTAGAATCATTCATGGCCTTTCAAGGCAGTAGGACTACCTAAAGCGCTGATAGATTTACTGTAAGGTGCAGTGGCTTTGTTTTGTTGGCAAACGCAACAGCTAATTTGTGCACAGCGATGTCCCACACGCAGTCGTGAAGTGATTGACCACATTTATTTGAGAGATTTTGGCCAGGAAACGGCAGAGAGAAACTCCCTTTCTTTTCAAATCGTATTGTGAAGTTTTTAATGTCCACCTGAAAAGTTAGACAGGACCTCGGTTTTATATCCCAATAGCGGCATCTCCAACAATGCATATACCCCACTGGAGTGTCAACGCATCCAGTTGATATGAACGTGAACCCACAGCTTCTGACTCCGAGACAAAAGGAACACCAATTGAGGCAGGCAAACAAGGGTTAAAGAATCTGAATTACATGTACACCATGGAAGCTTTTCACGCCATTATATGACGACTTGTGAGACGTTATCTCTAATTTATTTTGAGAAAAATCATTGCAAAGCAATATTTGCTGAAATATGTAAGAATCGAATAAGGATCATTCCCCTCCCTCCTTATTTGCAATCCTCCCCTCTCCCCTCCTCTCCCTCTTTATCTGCCTCCTACACTCTCTCATCCTCATTTGAATTTTTCTGGAAATCATCAAGTAAATGGAAAAGTATTAAACTGTGTATTTCAGAAGTGATTGACTGGCTTGAATCTTGTCACTGTCACATACCTATCATATTAATGGGGACGTCTGGAATACTTCGGTCAATGGTCACCTCATCCACCAGACTGGCACCTGTTTGAATAGAATTAATATTACTAGTTTGAACGAACTCTGTCTCAATACTATTTGAGTAAGATGTGTAACTCACCACAGAATGGAGGCACAGTGTATCATCACACATTACCTTGTTCCTGTATTTCAGTCATAATTTTGTTCAGTTTGGGCAAAGTGGACCTCATTTCCACAAAGGATTCCCACGTCACTCTCAGGGCATGGGAACCTTTTCCCATCACCAGGTTCAGAAGAAATTTCGAGCTTTGTGTCTTCTGCCCACTGTGTGTGAGCTCAGTGAGCTTCTGCAGAGAGTGAGCATTAATGTATTGAAGATGGAGTGAAACATGAGCAGTGAGAGTGATCAGCAACACCCAGCTCCATTGATGGCTTCGCTGGATTTGCTATCTCTTCCCTCCACAAACTGCTTTCCTCTGTGATTATGCCTTTGATCACCTTCCCTCCACTTCCCTTCCCAAATCCAGCTCAGGCTCTACTGTGAGTGCCTTGAGACTGCCTCACCACGTGAACGGAGTTATTTAAACGCTATATAAACAGACACGTCTTACACTGTGCAGTACTGCTCCACTAGAGGCATATACTGCATGTCCTGTATTATAACAAATCTGGTTGGTTAAGTTTTGATTGCCATTCTGCCGATTTCATGATAACAGCTGCACCTGAGCTGTGCAGACAGGCACAGATTAACTGAGAGTTTAGGAAATGAAAGGGAAATCTCCTGACTCAAACCTACTTTGTGTTCCTGCGGACTGAAACATTCCTTCTCAGTCAGCCTTGAGCTGATGTCCTCCACGCCTTCCTCAATGGCCTGTTCCAATCTGTCTCGGCAGAACTCTGTCAGTTTGTGCAGCTGGTGATCATCGTACAGGGAAAGGGTTTCAGGGAATAAGGTGTTTGTACCTTCAGCAACCGTAAAAAACATTAAGTCAGTCATGATTTAACTTTTGTTCCTTGAAATATATTTCCGAAAATATTACCACATTTATTATTGCAAACGTTCAGAATAAACCAACATCCATTAGCTTAAAACACAATTTAATAGCTACCATCAGGCAGCTGTCAGCCTGGCTATGTTGGTGTCATTCTCGCTCCTGAGAAAGAAGGTTGTGGGTTCAAACTCCACATTAGGGCTTTGACCTCATAGACGAACCTGGCAATCCACTGCAGGACTCCCCTCTGGTTCTTTTGCCTATTACCTTAAGTCGGTGTCCCCCTGGTTACCCACCCAACCACCAGAGGAAACAGCTATTCCCTCTCTGAACCATCAGAACCCTTCATAATTTGGAACGCATTTATTAAATCTATAAAGTTGAACATATTAATGCCAGAGTCTGAATTTTGCGGGATCAAGCCGCACGGCGTGAAAAGCAACTCATATCCTCTCACTGAAATGCAGGTCACACTGCTGGGGTATCGTTCGCTGCTGACCTGCCATTTTTAGACAACGTACTAAACCAAAGTCCATTTGTTGATGCTTTGGTAGTTATTAAAGAAAAGAGAGTGTCTCTCTATGTCCTGGATAACAAATCCCCAAATTAAATTGGTCTCTATCTCCATGGCTGTTTGAGTGACATTGATAAGTGCATATTGTCACATTCGCCCACAGCGCTCACAGTCACAGTCGCTTTGGCAAAGTTGTGCATGAACGTTTTGGCTGCTGTGGGTGTGAGGTTTGGACAGAGGTGAGGTGGGCAATGTGGCAGAGGTGGAAAGTCAAGGTCCTGGTCAGGCAACGGATGTGGAGGAGAAAGAAAGCTGTTGATCGAATCTGACTCCACGGTTGCGCATTTCTTTGGAGTGAGTTTGAGGGAGATCCTGGGGAGGTTGAGGAGATCGGACCCACAGGACCGAAGTTGATGGTGGGAGCCAAATATTATGTCCGTCTTGCCAACGCCGAGCTGCAGGAAGTTTGCGTTCATCGAGTACTTGTTGGCTGTCATACAACAACAACAACAACAAGATTCCATTTATAAAGCGCCTTTCACGTCAAAAGAGAAACTGACAGGACAATAGCGGACTGGGATACGTAAATGGAGGAGAGGCCAGAGGCAGAGAAGTACATTTGAGTGTCATCCGCATACATATGGACTGTACACTCTACCATAAGGGCTTGCAGCTTTAACAGGAGCTGATTTGGAATAATTCATTCCCCCAGGACTGGTCTGTGACTGCAAGAGCTGCCCATCTGCCAGGCTGGCTGGTCTGTCATCACCTGGGATTTGGTTCATGAACCGTCAAACAAGTCCCATTAAAGACCTGGGAGTTTGCTCAATCCAAACAGATATTGACTGATCTGCCAGTTCCAAAGCTGTTGAGATAAAGTTATGTGTTTGTGTGTAAAAGTACTTTATAAACTATTTACCTTTGTTGGTTATCATCTCTTTAAGACTTTCCTCAAAGTCGGGTAAAGAGAACACATTGGGTGTGTTGCCGGGTGTCTGATCCACACCGCAGGTCATCTCACCGCCCTCTGCATTGGCAATCGGTTCAATTTCCACGGATGCTGTCTCACTCGACCCACCCAAAGTGGTGGAACACTGGTTGGGATTTGCAACCGTATCACAATGAGTTTGGGTAACTGCAGATGTACTCGCTGTTTCATTCCCGCCAGATGTGGATGTGTTTGGTTGTGGTGATGGTGACCATTTCATTGATTCATCAGGTTTGTCGTGTCTCGATGTCTCAGAGATTTGTTTCCTCTTTCCCATCAATGTTCCAACAAGGCGTTTCATTGCTGCAAAGTGCAGCCAAGCTGTTGTTGAGTTTTGCGACAGGTGTTGAGCCTTATTTATGTTTACAGTAGAACACGTAGAACAAGACGTGATCTATCAGACAATACCATAAGGTTATTATATCAATGACTCCTTCTTTCTCACATTTGACGTTTATCTTGCAAACGAAATCAATCGTAAGTCACGGTAACAATGAGGATTTAAGCATATTCAGATTTTGTACTGAAATACCATAATATAATAACTTTTCTTGCATTTGTTTTCTTTCAAGTGAGGAGGATGTCTCAAAACACTTCCCCATTAGTGTGAATTGTAGTGAGTTTGTATTTCGGAGGTGAATGCATCAGCCAATTTCATAGAATCATAGAATTATACAGCAGAGAAGGAGGCCATTCGGGCCATCGTGTCTGTTACGGCTCCTTGAAAAGCGCTATCGAAATCAATCCCATTTCTTCGATCTCTTCCCTTAATCTGCAAACTTGTCCGCCACAAATAATTATCTACTTCTCTCGTAAAAGCTATCAGCGAATCGGTTTGCACCACCCTTTCAAGCAATGCATTTCAGATCCTAACAATTCGCTGTGTGAAAGAAATACCCCTCAACTCCCCTCTGTTTATTTTAAACTATTTTTAATCAGTGAACTCGGGTTATCGACAGTGGTAATATATTCTCATTGCGCAACCTTTTAAATTCCCTGTCTCAATTTGAAAACTTCTATTAATTCTCCTCTTAATCTTATCAGCTCCAAGGTGCAAAATCGGAGCTTCTCTAGCCTTCCTGGTAACTGAATAACCTCTTTACTGGTTCTATCCCTGTAAAGCTCCTTTGCACCCTCTCCAATACCTGCTTAAAGTTTGTGGCCCAAAACTCAACAGAGTGTCCAGCTGAGGCCTCACCAGTGTTTTATAAAGGTTCATTATAACTTCAACTACAACAACAACAAAATTGCATTTATAGAGCGCCTTTCACGTCGGAAGGACGTGCTAATGTGCTGAATAGTCAGGTGTCGGGACCAGAGCATGGGGGAGAGGAGGGGTATAGGTGAGGGAAGGCAGAGTGGTGGGAGGGAGACGAAAGGCATGGTCGAAGAGAAGGGTGTGGAGACGGGCCTTGAAGGAGGCAAGGGAGGAAGCGAGGCGAAGGGACCGTGGGATGAAATTCAGAGTGTGGTGGCAGAGGGGCTGAAAGCCCGGCCAACGATGGGAGGGCGGGTCGGGCTGGAGACTCGGAGCAGCTCAGAGGCCGCTGAACGGAGAGAACGGGCAGGTTGGCAGTTTTCTGAATTTTGTATTCTATGCCCTTATTTATAAAGCATAGTATCCTTTATGCTTTTTAAAATCTTTACCTTCAAATATTTACTAATATGAACCCCCAGGTCTCTCTGTTCCTTCATCCCCTTTAAGATTCTACAATTAGCTGATATTGCCTCTCCTCATTATTCCTCCCAAAATGCATCCACATTGCATTTCTCCACATTTAACTTCATCTGCCACGTGTCTGCCCATTTTACCAGTCTGCCTATTTCCTCTTGCTGTCTGCTACTATCCTCCTCACTGGCAACCACTTTTCCTAGCCTAATCTAATCTGCAAACTTGAAAATTGTACTCCTATACCCAAGTTCAGGTTATTTTCATAGACAAAAAATAGTCAGTGGTCCCAATATCAACCCACTGGGGGACACCACTGCACATTTCCGTCCAGACAGAAAAACAACTGTTCACTACCACTCTCTGATTTCTGAATCCCATTTGGTCTATTTGGTGAAAGCAACAGCTTGCAATTAATACGACACTTCCTTTGCTGTTGCCAAGGACAGCACCTTGGGTGAAAGGCGATAAACAGATGTAATTTTGTAATTTTCTATTGTAATAATATTATTACCACTAATTATTATTATCACGTTCAGTATGCCACCATCACATCAAGATGACATCATTAACTGCTTCACGGGATTTTGTGGGCAAATACAGCAGCCAATTACCAAACCGTATTGGCCTATGAACAGCTTGAAATGATTAAACAATTGTATTTAAGGGATTTTTATCCATGACACTGGGAGACAAGAGTTTAGCCTTGTGATAAAAACTACGGTTCCACTTGGGGATTATTGGAATCCAAATCAGGATTCATCAGTAATTCAATCCTAAATGGCATCTTTGGATGTATAATAAGGTTCGATCAAGGACTGAAGCCCCGGCTTCTTGTTCTCCATCTGTCTCATTGATTGTACAGAAAGACAGGAAACCAGGCGCTGGGATAGTAATAATCCTTGCGAAAACAAACATTGTCCCTCGGCCTGCCCCACTTTCTCCCCAACTTTAAATCCTGCCTAAATATTGTCCTTTTTGATTGTGCTAACGGTCTCGTCACCCCTCCCTCTGGCCTTAGCTTGGGGTCAGACACTGCCACTGTCAAGAGCTATCCCGTGTGAATGCCGCTGTGTAAATGTAAGCTGTTGTTGTAAGCTCCAGGACTCCACAAATTTGCAGATCTAAAGTGACCTGGTGCTGACTTTAAATATTAGTGTAAATCACGTTGAGGAAATTGATGCATTGAGCCTACCGGGTGCTGCTCTCTGTGTCCAGTTGCTGACGGGGGTGAATTGCCGCCTTCTGGCCTCTATCTCTCTAAAAGCTGATGATATCCTGTGCAGGAAAAAAGCAAATGTAAACTTCCTTGTTCTGCCTTAGACACTGTAACTTACAAACATACTCTCTGCCTGCTTGTCTCTCTGCCCGTCTTCTGGTGACATAATCTCCACTCTGAACCCTTACTAGGTTCCACGGTATGTGATGGCAAGATCCAGCTGGTTTGGATAAAGAATTGCCTTCGGCCTATTTATCATCTTTGTAGAACTTACAGTTTCCTTCCGGCCATCACAGTACAGAGCTGCGTTTGTTCAGGACACTTGACCGCTCTCCCTTTCCACACCTGGATCCCGCCACACTATTCCTTACTTACCTTAGACGCTCAGCAAAGGAACATAATAATAGTTATAATTATTATGGGGCTACCTGTGTAAGAAGGGTATCCTTGGAGCTGAAATGCTTCCAGGTTAATATGCCTGGCAAAGGAATGTCGGATTCATATCCGCCCTTGTGGCGGTCTGTAATCCGGTACTATAGCCAAAAAATAAATATTAATATCACAAAAGACCCTCCTTTTCGACCACGTCTTCGATCACCCTCCTTCCGCCGTTGCCCTACACCCTCCACAATCCCGTCCCCCAGCTCAATCCGAAGTATTCATCATACAACGACTTGGAAATGGGCTATAAAAATGCAATTTTGCTGTTGCCTTTGGTCATTGTACAGTTATAATTGTGATGTTTAATGTTTTTACAACTACAATTTAATCTTTGTAACCGTTTAGAATATAGTATAGCCATAAGCTTTTGATAAGGTTTGTTTGGTTTAACGACTAGTTCAGGAGGGGTTAAAGTTCCGTTGCTGGACCGGATGAAGTCAACTTCTGATTAAAATACTGCAGCCTCCATCTGCCTATCTCAATAATGAGAAGCAAACAGGCGGTGGGAGGCTTCACAGAAGCTGTCCATATCTCCCTATCTCTGCAAAGCAGCATGTGTAGTGTGTTGGCTATTTCTGTGAAGAGAGCAACCGAAGTTAAAAACACGTAAAGAAAGATGTAATTTTATTTTGCTGACAAAGCCGAATGGTCTCTTTTTGTCCTGTATATTTCTATGATTATTTGAAATAGTTGGAGGAGTGGAGAGGCTCAGCGCAGTTCCCAGTGAAATCAATATCGAGTCGACTGCATCAATGTATACGTACAGGGGGGAGGAGATTTGCCACCAGTAAGAAAGTTACCAGCAAAAGAGAAAGCGAATTAGTGGGGTTCGTAAGGAGGGCTTTCTCTATTTGGAGTTTGGTGTTGTTGTGGGTTGTAAACACTTTGATTGTTATGCTGGAAAAAACAGTGATGATATATTATCAAAATTAATGCAGACACTGTTGATGCTTGTGTTTGCATAATGGACTATTTACTTTGAATCTCTGTGTCACTTGTGTTGAGTAACCTGGTGTTCTGGCAAAGTAACGATGCAAAATTAGCTGCGAGACAGAAAGCATATAATACGTAGCAAATGATTGTTTTCCAGACTCTCGTGCACCCGGGGGTCGGTTTTAGGTCCACTGCTCTTTTTGGTATATGTGAATGACTTGATTATCAAAAGCGACGTTTAAAATTTTGGAGATTGCACTAAAGTATGGAACGTGGTGAAGAGTGAAGTGGATGGTAGAGGATGTGAGGGGGATATAGACAGACAGTTGAAACGGGCAGACATGCCGCAGATGACGTTTAATGTGGAGAAGTGTGAGTAGATGCATTTTTGGAGGAAGATTGATGAGAGCCATTCTGTGCTAACAAAAACAAAATGCCTGTCTGCGTGTCTCCCAAGAAAGCAATAACCGAATGATGCATAGATATGATTTACACCTCATCGGAGAGGTCTCGCAAGGGGGAGCAACGTGGGCATTTGAGGGCGGGTTCCTATCTCCTATATAAGCTATAATAAAAATGCAATTAAACCGATATTAAACCGACATGAATAAAAAAATGACAAATTAGTCACTCAGTACAATACTAAGCAATCAATCGAACACTGCTGTGTGAAATTTTACGTTGGATATCGCCCATAAAGATACAGTCAATGCACATCACAGTATACTCTGGGAAGCACTTTGCAACTTCTAAAACACCTGAAAACTGCTATAACAAATGCAAGGATTATTATTCTATTTTAATCTATACTATCAAAGATTACATGTTTGTCTGTGTCCTCCCAAACAGGAGTCCTCCAAACAGGGATTATTCCCACCGTAAATCCTCCAACAAGCGACCTTCGAATATGGGTTCTTCCCAACAAGGAATGGTTCCAACCAAGGCTCCTCACAACGTGGAGTCCTCACAACATGGAGTCCTCCCAAAAGGAGTTGTTCATCTGAGCCTTTCCACTGAATCCTCCCACACGTTTCTCGCACAGGAGTCCTCCCAAAAGGATATATGTAGAAGTATGTGAACAAGGAATGTCAGCGAGTTCAACAACACATTTGCTTAACCTTAATTGACAGAATTGCCTGGGAAGCGAAGATCAAGCCTTTTCACGAAAAACAAAAATGTAGATGAAAGAGAGAAGACCGATTTAATTAAAGTGGTTACAAGCATAGATGCAAGGTTACAGACAGGGAATTAGACGGTATCGTTTTAAAGGGAGTACAGGGGTAGAGAGACCTATGGATTCAGAGACATAGGTTGATAAGGACTAACGGGTAACAAAGTGGGTTTCCCCACTGTGATTAAATGGTACGTTTCAAAAATGTGTCCATGTCCTGTGTGCGTTAACCTTTCCGACACTACAATGCAATAGAGGCACTGCAGAGAAGGGAGGAACAAGGCCTACCTTGTCACTGTGCCTTATAAAGAGGGGCAGAAGCCCAAGGTGGAGCAGTCTTGGTTCCTGACCAAAGCGAAACGCAGAGATGCCTACCCCAGAACCAACCCCCCCTGCCTCCCCCCCCCCCACCACCCACCCACACACACACACCACCACACACACACAAACCACGCCCTCACGCACAAGGGTGATCTGCTGTAATCTGTGATAACCAGATACTAATACATTTGTTTTGTTTTTCTTTCTGTTTAAGGATTGCTTGTTTGAAATTAATGTAAATGTATATTCTATCTACAAACAAATATATCTGTATTGTTTTTAATCTAATAGCTGATTATCAGGACTGTCTGGTTAATTGCTGCTGGTGTCACACACATCCCGGGACATTCAGTTCCATAGCGTGGGCCTCCATGCTGAAAAGGGCAAAAGCAACATGTATATCTAACTCAGCTGAAATATATCATAAACATGTAGCAGCAGTTCAAACTGTGTTGGTTTGTTTCACTAAATGCGTAGATTTGGTTTAAATAGTGTTTATTTGAGCGGTAAAACCATGTTGTATTGAGTTCATTTGTACACTATGTTCTGGGCGTTCCCCACACAGCCCTAAGCTGCAGTTCATATCTTTATTAACAGAGAAACAGCAGCATTCCCACAAATATAACATTTCCTCTCTTGGCCTCATTGAGTCTCTAACCAGTAACTGACTGTAATACAAATATATATAGAGAGAGTGCGAGATAACTGCATACAAAGACAGATTGACATAGAGGCATACTTTTACACACATAGAGCAGAAAGGAATACACACAGATTGAGAGAGAGAAACGCACATAGAGACAGACAGATACCCAGACAGTGAGCAATACAAATACAGACACACTCAGACACAGAGAGAGATCCAGAGACAGAGTGACCCCTCTCGCTCAATCCCTCCGCATTGCCTCCTCCATTCCCACTTTCAAATCCTGGCTAAGTGTTTTCCTTTTTGATCGTACTAATGGTCACCGACCCCCTCCCTATCCCCGTAGATAGGGGGTCAGACTCCACCACTGTCAAGTGCTCACTTCGTTAAGCGTGCTGTGTAAATGTACGTTGTTGTTGAAAGATACAGAACTCCACAAATCTGCAGATCTAAATTGAACTGGTGCTGAGGAAAAACAGTAATGTAAATGACGTTGAGGTAATTGATGCCCTCAGCCTACCTTGGTGCTGCTATATGTGGTCCAGTTGTTGACGCGGGTAAATTGTTTGCTCCTGGTCTCTCACTCTCTGAGCTGCCGATCTCCTGTTCAGAACAAATGAAATGTTCACTTGCTGATTCTACCTCAGACACAGTCACGTACAAAGCTGCTGCTGCTGAATGTCTGTCCTGTTTATGGTGACACTATCTTCTCTCAGAAACCTGGTTGGCCCCAGTTCCTCATAATGTGTTGCAAACATCTGATTGGTTTGATTAAAGAAGCCCATTCGGCCCAATAATCGCCTTTTTGAACCTGCACTTTCCCTCCTGCACATCACAGTACAGAGCTGTGTTTGTCACAGACTCCTTATCATAACCATCACACACCCCCACCACACCCTCACTCCGAACCGCCACACCATTCCAGACGTTCCCGAGCCTCTTAGTAAACATGTGTAAAACTCTCAGTTAAGAGGCCCGGTGTCTGTGTAAGAAGGGTCTACTTGGAGCTGAACTGGCAATGGAATATCGGAAACATATCACCTCTAATATCATTATTAGTAGCAATGTTAATAATTCATGTTATTTTTCATACTTTTAGCAATATCAGTATCATAGTTTCAGTTGTGAAACCATACTGTAGCGAGTTCACTTTTGCCACCACAATTAGGGTGTTGCCCACACAGCACAGCCCTGGAGCTTATATCTTTATCAACAGACACACAATTCACTCTCTGAGCATTAGTGAGCCTCGAACCAATAAATAACTCTATGGCTATGGATCTTCTCATCAGTCACTCTTTGCCCTCACTGTTAGATTAGTTTAACAGTTGACAAGCTTGACAACAGAATGTCGGAATCGAGTCAGGCCTCTCTGACGGTCTCTAGTCCAGTTTTTGAGCCAGGCTGGTCCAGGGTATTCCAGGGCACTGTTAGTGACAACACAGCCCAGCCTGGTTCATTGGCAGGATACGGAAGGGCCGACTAGTCGCTGGTCAGTGATTCTTGCATATCAGCTCCTGTTACCCCTGAAAACCAAAGCCAATGTGTAGGATGGTCGTAGCTGGACAAACAGCAGGAATGTTTGTCAGATAGCAATGGTAAACTGTGCAGTTTTAGCTCGTTAGACTCCAGCAATTACCCCAACACAAGCTCTTGGGGCCCCAAAGCACAGGTTGGCTCTTGCAACCTGTACTATATACTCCAAGGAATTAGATTAGCAGCAGTTGACCCCCCAGGAAGGTAGTGCACTTTCCAATCCAAAAATCTATCTCGGGAATATGTAGTTGGGATGCATGAAATTCTCTGTTTCGTTTGCAGACGCTTCGTTACGGTGATGGGTTTCTGTGTATATTAGATACCTGGCTAAACAACAAAACAATCATAGAATCTCATTTTCGTTCAGTTCTGACAAACAAATGTGGAATTGAATTCACAGCCTTTGTCTTACAGACAGCTGCTGTCCAACTAACTGACGCTTTTCATGTCTGTTGTCACTTAACACAAATGAATAGTCGCTGCCACAAGACCGCGCTGTCTCCAGTCTCCTCGACCCACTGCTGAAGCTTTCACATCCACACTCTTACACCCATCTTGTTCCTCAGAATCGCCGGCCCAGAGAACTTCCTGATCACAACTGTTTCTGTATCTTTGTTTGTCTATGTTTGTGTCTTGTTTTCTCTGTGAGTGCAAGTGGCAGAAGGTGCAGTGAAAGGGAAGATGTGTGTGCCTGTTTTGTGCATGTGTGTGAGTGTCTGCAAACACCAGGACCTTGACCAGCAAGTCTTTATTCCATCTCTGTCACATTGCCAAGCTCCATCCGTACCTCACCAAAATCCCATGCAATTTCCGGCTTAAATTCCTTCACTTGGAATATTGTGTAAAGCTCTTGTCACTGCAAAATAAAAAGGATATTGCAGCGATTAGGGGGATACAGGGGAGGGCAGCCAAAATGATGGAGCGGTTGGAGCGACTGGACTACGAGGAAAATGAGATAAGCTGTGCATTTTCACACCAGAGAAGAAATAGTGGAGGGGCAATACGAACACCGTTTTTAATATTATGAAGGAAATACTTTAGGGCAACCATGATCAGCTGCATTATCTTGTACAGTAGAACCACAAGACCCGGCAAGCCATTCAATAGGTCTCAATTCAGAACAAGACTGTGGATACACGCTTTCAGTGAGCGAGAAATAAATCTATGGAACAGGCTCCATCGGGACACATTGGAAGCAGAAAATATCATTTGTTTCAAGAACAAATTGTGTAGATTTCTGCCAGGTTATAATAACTCGGTATATACAGCAACAACATCTACAACAGCAAAATTAAATTTATAGAGCGCCTTTCTCGTCGGATGGACGTGATACTGTTTGGGACTCGATATGTCAAACGAATGCTAGTTTGGTGGCAGACGAATTATATGGACCTTGGTTTTCTTTCGCCAGCAAATTCCAGTGTCCTTTTGTTCTTATTCTAATGCTCTCCTCGTTGGTCTCCCCAGCTCCACTATACACACAATTCAATCAATCCAAAACTCTAATACCCGGATACTCACTCTCACAAACTCTGTTTCCAAGTCCTTGACAGGCTCCACTGGCTCCCAATTACTGAATAGATCAACTTCAAGATCTTCTCCCTTGTTTTCCAATTACTTATCGACCTCGTACCTCCCCACCTACCCAATTTGCTTACATCCCTCTCCACCTCCTGTTGCCTCAGCTCAGTTGGCTCCGGCCTCGTGTTTGTCCCACGTCCGTTGCATTCCACTATCGGTGGCTATGCTTTCAGCCACTGCAGCTGTGAAACTCTCTCCAGTAACACCGCCTCCATCATGTGCCCTCCTTTCAAATCCTACCTAAAGTAAGTGCTTCCTTTTTGCTTAAGCTTGCGATCACTCCCAAAGCTCTGCGCCTCTCTCTCGCCCTTGCTCGGAAACACTTTCTGCCTCTGCCAAGTGCTCGGGGACGCCACCCCTTGTAAATGCCGCTAAGTCAATGCAAGTTGTTGTAATTGTTTGTTAGTGTATCACTCATTCTATGTATATGTGAGCGATGGCGTATCTGTCTCTGTGTCTGAGTGTGTGTGTGTTATTCTCTCTTGATTGCACCTGAAACGTTTAATGGCTGTGCATCTAAATGTCTCTCACCTTGTGTGTGTGAAAACGTCTCCCTCAGTCTCTGTGAGGGCACTGACCTGCTCCATGTCCACCCAATCCTTGGAGGTCTGGCCTTCAGTCTTTCTGCTCCCACCCTCTGGCTGAGTTTACGATGTGCTCTCTCAGAGTGAGCTCACATCGGTCTGTGCTTGATTTGATAAGGAGGAAGCTGCTCACAAGAGAATATTCTTCGCCAAATATTCCAGAATTCAAAGCACAGATCAAACACAATATGATTCACTTTATAATGTGAACGTCTACTATGTCAGGATCAGTGATGAGAAGTTTACGCTGACAGTGTATGAGGGTGATCTGCCTGTGGGGATATACAAAAGGGTCTTTACAGTACACAGTCTGGAGACAGCTGATACACATCATCAGCCGATGTAAATGACTCCCATTCTCACCCTGAAGCTGTGTCAATAGACTTATAATCACCTGGATCTTAACAAAATTAACATTACAACGTTGCGATGGTATTCGAAGGAGGCAATGGATGGGGCGAGGCGGAGATGACAAAACATAGAGATCCAGAAGGCTGAACGCCTAAATGCTGATGGTTGAGCGAGCAGGCGATGGGTGTTTGGAGCACACCAGAGGCCCCTGAGTAGAGGAATTGGTTGGGTTATTAGGGAGGAGCAAGACCTGGAGGGTTTTCAAGGTGAGGATGAGGATCTAGTACTCAACAAAACCAATAACAACTTGCACTTATATAACACCGTCACATGGATGGATACCCAGGAAGCTTGACTGTGGCGGAGCATGACGCCGAGCCAGGGGAGAGGGAGGTGACCATATAAACCAACGACGAGGAAGGTTTTCAGGTGCTACCTGAAGATGGGGAAGAAAGGGACAAGGCAGAGGGATAGATAAAGAGTGTTCCAGAGTTTGGGGCGTAGCGGCTGAAATTGCTGCTGCTGATGGTGTAACGGTGGGCACAGGGAACAAGCGGAGGCAGCAGGGAGTGGGTTGGGGCGTTAATGAATGGTTTGTGAGGTACCGGACATGAGGGGCATGAACTCGATATTCTGAGGAATGGTGAGGCAGTCGAACCCGGTCAGGATGGCGCTCATGATCGCCCTTTGCTGCTGCCCCGGCAACGCTGGGGCATCAGTGCTGTTTAGTCTGGATTCAGGAAAAATTACACAGTGATGTGAATCTGTCACCAGCTTGCAATCCCTAACCTCTCCATGCACAGCACAGAATCCTGCCTTCCCAGCCACCACACTCTCTTATTCCCCACCCTAGCTCAACCCCACCCTGACTTTTCCCTTACACCCTCACTCATCTCCCCCCACAACCCAATCGCTTGCACCCTCACTTCACTCTGTGTTTTTTCTGTTCTTCAGGTCCGGCCTCTCTGTCTCTAGATCCTGACGCAGCCCATCCTGATCTAATACAGCCTTAGGATCCAACCTCTCCCCATCCTCACACATATCCACATCCATTCCCACCTCATCCTCACGCACACTCAGCCCCTCACCATCTTATAAGACTCGGAGACAAACGGCAGCAACTTCCTGAATCCCGAAAGAGTTTAAACTGAAGCGAAATAGTTGGGAACTCTCAACAGGTCAGGAATTATTTAGAGAGAAAGTGATTCAACATGGATCTGTCACCAGCTCACACACCCCGGCCTCCTTGTACCCCGCCCAGACTCCTAGACACACCACACACCTCCATCACCTACTCCCCCCTCACTAGCTACCCCTCCTCCCAATCATTCCCTCCCCCGAACACGCACTGGCTAGCCCCCACACTCCACTGTGTATTTTTTTCTTTCAGCTACGGCCTCTCTGACTATGGATCCTGACACAGCCCCTCCATATACTCATACACAACCACACACAGACCCTTCTCATTTTCACCCACACCCAGCCCATATGCATCCACACCAACACCGAGCCGATCATCATCCTGACCCACACACAGCCCCTCCCCATGTTCAGCGTGAGTCTCGGAATCAAACAGCAGCAACTCCGTGACACGCCAAAATGTTTTAGGACCTGGGCTCTGAAGGCATCCCATCAGGGAGACATTACTGGGAGGAGCAGATGGCCGACAATACTTTGTGGTGTGTGAGAATTGTCAGAAGGTCCACCAATAGAAAATTCATCAAAAGAAAGGATATATCACAATGTACAGCTTTGATCTCATCTAACACCCTCTTGCGGCTGAGAGAGGGACCGGGGAAGCTGGGAGCTTACATGGACTATGAGGTTGGCGGGGTGGGGGATTATTCTACGAGGGTGGTAACATTTCTAATTTTCATACTTTCACCCAGACATTCACTGAAGAACTTTATAATTATTTGAGTCCCTGAATCAATGACGTTGCGAAAGCTCCCTCCACCATCACCTACACCAAGCACTTACCCACCCTCACCGACACCAAGTACCTCTCCACCCTCACTTACAACCTTCCCCGCCCCATTCTCATTTACATAGACCCTCCGCATCCCTCAAACCCACAAGCCACACACTCACTTACACCTAGAAAATCGTACACCCTCACACGCACCCAGATACACAAACCCTCACCTGAACCCAGCTCCTTATTATCCACAACCAACCCAAAATCCTCCCTATCCACACCCACACATTCCCTATCCTTACCTACAGGGACACGCACATAGACAGATGAAGGAAAGGTCAGACAGAGAAGCTCTGTGTGTGACATCTATTGAGGTGGTTAGTTTCAGCTAAGCATGTGTGAGGGAAGGCACGCACATAGGCAGGTGTGTGTCAATAACCGTTCTCAAAGCAGGGATGGGAGAGGAATCTGGATTAGCATCTTTAATAATCAATCACTACCGTATCCAGAACATATTCCATATTACACAGACTGTGTGGACAGTCACTGCCTCAGTCAGTGTTACACTGTCACGGTCAGCTCAGCTCTGATTCCCCGCAGTGACTCGAGCTGATTCTTTTCTTCTGCACTGAACCTATTCCCGTACAGCCTGAAACACATTAAAGAGGAAATAAATCATGGCATAATGATAGAAACTGTAAATTGATCATGTCACAGTTTAATAAATAAATCCATTCAAACTCTTCCCATTCTGATACCCAACCCTTTATCTGTGTGTTTATCACATTAAACACTGACACAAACACTCACCAGATCTCCTCCAGACTGGTGCAGGTCTGTATGAGGCAGCGGAGAGCGGGGACAGAGCCGTCTGTGAAGGAGTTTGACTCCAGCTTCAGGTCCCTCAGTGAGCGGCTTGTCATGAGAGCGGAGACCAGATCATCAGTGCAGCCATCGGTCAGGCTGTTACTGTCCAGCCTGGTGATCAGAGACACAGAGACATAACAGGGATCAAAATAAACACAGGGTGTACAACCTACTGTAACTCACTAGAGGCCGTCACCCACGGAACGAAGAGGCATTAGAGGCGACAAGCAGATACAGAGATGGAAACGACCCTCAGACAGTCCATGCCACCAGCGAGGGGGCACTCAGAGGGTTTTCTGGATATACCAAGTGTAATAGAGGAGAATCCAGCACCTTCCATCACAGATTGGCGCTGTGGCTGGGAAGATTCTCCGATAGAGATTAATGTTCTTTGGGAGGAGGGCAATCAGGCTCTTTGGTATCATTTGGCTTCAATGTGGCATCCCCAAGAATGGAGGTTGGGAATCTCTTCGACCCTCTGTAAGTCATTCAGACTCTGGAGACACAGTGTGTTACTTACCGCAGACTCTGCATTTTACACTCCGGGTTCCTTAGAGCCTCACATAGTCGCTTCACTCCAGAATCTCCCAGATTATTGTTATTCAGGATCAGCTCCGTCAGTGAGTGGTTTGTGCTGAGAGCAGAGGCCAGATCCTCGGTACAATCAGCTGTCAGATTGTTACTGTACAGCCTGCAGATCAGAGACACAGAGACATAACAGGGATCAGAGTAAAACAGTGTTTATAACCCACTGTAACTCACAGTTTGTTTGATGCCTGAGTGGTTGTTGAGCTGCACACACAAACACAGACACAAATACACACACGCAAGCATAAGAAACGCAAATACTTGCACAAGCATTCACATACACGCACACGCACACATACAAACACACACACACAAACACATGACCCACAGAAAAATACACACACAGACATACATACACAACAAAACGCATAAACACAGACACACACGCAAACACACAGTCATGTACTCAAATGTACGCTGTCTCACACAAATAGCACCCACACAGTAAAGCAGATGCGCACATACACAAACATACTCACACCAACACACACCCACGTGCACACAATTACTCACACACGAAAACACACACACGCACAAATACACACAAATGCACAGGTTCACACAATTCTTCACACACAAATACACGTACAAAAACAAACATACACAAAAGCAGACTCACAAGCACGCACAGAAACCAACACAAAGTGACACAAACATGCAAACACACAAACTCAATGACTCACAAACAAACACATGCCACACAAATACCCACACAAACGCACAGAAAAACACACAAACACACAAAAAGTAACAAACATACACACAGAAAATCACACCACACAAACACAAACACACATAAACAAAATCCCACACAAAAACACACACATAAATACACATACACACAAACATACCAACAACCGCACACGAAAATACACACAGTAACACACATAGGCAAACACGCACAATCACACACAAATTCACACACACAGAAACACATACAAGTACACACAAACATACAGAAACACAGAAACACAACAATTATACTCAAAAACAAACACACTGTCGCAAACATACACACAAAAACACAGAAAAACACGCAAGAATACACACACAGAAATACAGAGACACACAGAGGCATACGGACACAAACACAAAGACACTGAGACAAACATTCAAAAACACATCACACAAGCACAAACAAAGACAAACACAAACAAAAAACCATGCATAACGAAACACAAAAACAAACACAAAACACACACAAACAAATGCATACACACACAGAAACACAAACAGATACACACATCCATACACACAAACACTCAAAAAACTATCAGAAACGCACACACACAATCACACACACAAATACAAACACAGACAAGCAAACGGACAAACACAAAACAGACACACATGAGACACACACACACGGACTTCCCAAACACCCACAGACATACAAACAATCCCACACGCAGACACCCACCCACACACAGAAACAAACACACACACAGGCACACACACGGAGACATACACAGATGCACACTGACATTAATACATGTTGAGAGTTTGATGTAAAAGATGGCTTGTCGCCTCACACTGTCACACCGATTCCTGTCACAATATTAAGCTTCATTGATCAGACAGTCACAATAAAGATATTGAGATGTTGGAGTCATTCAGACTTTGGAGACACAGTGTTTTACTTTCCCCAGACTCTCACAGTCCGAGTTCCTTAGAGCCTCATAATGTCGCTTCACTCCACAATCTCCCAGATTATTGCTCCCCAGCCGGGACACAGAGACACAAACACAGGGAATATAGTGTAACAACACAATACACATTGACATGTATATACAGGAGCCTTTCATGGCGCTGGAGCCTTTCCCAAGGCGCTGGGACCAGCGTCAGACAACCCCGCACATGTGCACACACACATCACATTCTTTCTCTATTTCTCTCACTCTCTCTCCGTCTCTCTCTCTCGCTCTTTTTCTCTCTGTCCCTCGACCTCTTTCGCTATCTCTATGTATCTCCCACAAAATATGCAGTCGCTGCAATTTGCAATATGTTCTCCCCAATTTGTTTCTCTGCCTCTGTCTCTCTCAGTCTCTCTCTCAGTCTCTTTCTGTCTTTTCCACAAACATTGTCGCTACACTTTAAAATATAGCCTTTTTCATTCTTTCTCAGTCTCTTTCTTCCTCAGTCTCTCCGTCTCTCACACTCTAACTCATTCTTCATTCTCGCGGTTTCTCTCAGAATCAATCTCTCTTCTCGCTCTCTCTCTCCATTTCTCTATCTCAACTCTCACTCATTCATTCTCTCCATTTCCTTCTCTCCCAATCTCTTTATTTGTCTCTCGCTCTGCCTTTGACTGACTTAGTCTCACTTCATTCTCATTCTTGTGTGTGTGTTTGTGTGTGCGTGCGCGTGCAAATACAGACATGCACACAAACAAACTGACAAACAAACACACGTACACAACAAACAAAAAGATTGATGTACACACACATAAATAAACAGATTCATACACACGCACATACATATATACACATAAACACAAACAAGGACATAACGTCATTAGATTCAGAGTGCCAAGGAAAGAGATAAGGAACCATCTAACGTAAAGATATTCAGCTGGGTCCCAGATTATTGCGTCCCCCCAGAGATCGGTGTTAGGACCACTACTCTCAGCTGGAATAGGGCAAATTTCTGGGACCTAGCCAAAGTGACCTGGAAAGAAAGATTGGCAGGTAAAGCAATAAAGAGCAGTGGGAAGTCTTCAAGAATGAGATAGCTCGGGGACAGAATAAATAGATTCCCATAAAAGGGAAAAGTAGAGCTTCCAAAACTCCCTGGATGACGAAGGTAATTGTATCTAAAATGAAGCAGAATAAGGAGGGGTGTGACAAATGTCAAACCCAAGATACAGAAGACAACCAAATGGAATATAGGAAGTGCAGAAGAGGTTTGAAAAAGGAAATAAGAGTGGCAAAAAATTATACAAAAAAAGGTTAGCGGGTAACACTAAAGCGAATTCTAAAATATTTTACAAATATATAAAGAAAAAAAAGGCTAGTCAAAGTAGGGTAGGGCCAATTAAGGACCAAGGGGGAAATCTTATTGTGGAGGTAGAGGGCATGGCTAGTGTGCTGAATGAGTATTTTGCTTCTGTCTTCACAAAAGAAGTGGATGCACCAAATGCAGCAGTATCGGAGGAGAAGGTAGAGAAAATGGTTAGGAAAAGTATAAACAAAAAGTAAGTACTGAAAAGATTGAGTGCGCTGAAGTTAGATAGGTCGCCCGGTCCGGACGGGATGCAACCAAGATTACAATGGGAGGCACGGGTACAAATGGCGGAGGCTTTGCCTGCAATTTTTCATTCTTCGTTGGACACAGGAGTGGTGCCAGAGGACTGGAGATTGGCCAATGTGAGTCCCCTGTACAAAAAGGGACAGAAGGATAAACCTGGGAACTGCAGGCCAGTCAGCCTGACATCAGAAGTGGGGAAGCTCTTGGAGACTATAATCCGGGACAGAATAAATCTTCACTCAATTGGGGTTAATGATGGATAGCCAACATGGATTTTTAAAGGCAAATCTTGTCTAACAAATCTAATAGAATTTTTCGATGTGGTATGGATAAAGGAAAGGTCGTGCAGTTTATGTAGTTTATATGGAATTTCGAAAGGCATTTGACAAAGTGCCATATGAAAGACTTTTAAGAAAGATAGAAGCCCATGGTATAAAAGGGAGAGTGGCAGCATGGATCCAGAACTGGCGGGGAGACAGAAAGCAGAGATTTGTGGTGAACGGCTGCTTTTCTGACTGAAGCGAAGTATACAGTTGCGTCCCCCCAGAGATCGGTTTTAGGACCGCTGCTGTTCTTAATATATATAAATGATCTGGACTTGCGTATAGCAAGTACTATTTCCAAGTTTGCGGACGACACAATGTTAGGTAGGGTGATAAACAATGAGAAGGATAGTAGTCAACTGCTGGAAGACATAGAAAGAATGGAAAAAATGGGCAGATACATGGCAGATGAGTTTTAGTGTAGAGAAATGCGAGGTAATGCATTTTGGTAGAAAGAATGATGGGAGGCAATATAGGCTATGTAATACAATCTTAAGGGGTATAAAATAACAGAAAGACCGGCGGTGCAGCTAAATAAATTCTTGAAGGTGGCAGGACAGGTGGATGAAGCTGTAAAAAAGGGCATGGGATACTCGGCTTTATGAATAGGGGCATAGAGTACAAGAGTCAGGAGGTTATAATTAACCTACATAAAACACTGCTTAGGCTTCAGTTAGAATACTGCGTCCAGTGCTGGGCACCACACTATAGGAAGGATGTCAAGGCATTGGAAAGGGTGCAGAGAAGAGTTACGAGGAAGGTACCAGGAATGAGGGACATTGATTATGAGGAAAGGCTAGAGAGGCTGGGATTATTCTCACTGGAGCAGAGAAGGTTACGAGGAGACCTGATAGATATCTTCAAAATCATGAGGGGATTTGATGGGTTAGAAAGGGAAAAACTGTTTCTACTGGAGGGTGTGTCGGTTACTCGAGGTCGCAGATTCAAAATAGTATTCAAAGGAGCAAAGGGGAGGTGAGAATCATTTGTTTCACACAACGAGTTCTTAGAATCTGGAACGCATTGCCTGAAAAGGTGGTCGAGGCCGATTCGATAACTACTTTTAAAAACGCGATGGATGGGTATTTGAGAGGACGGCTTTGCACGGTTATGGGGAAAGGGCTGGGGAGTGGGATTGACATTAATTGCTCTATTCAAAAGAATGCACAAACTCGATGGGCCGAATGGCAACTTTTTGTGCTGTACAATTTTATGATTCTATAATTCTATATAAATACGCACACAAACACAATAATAAGCAAACATCCATAACACACACAAAAAACACTCACAGACACATATACCATCAAACACCCACACACAGTTCAAACAGGCAGAGACACACAGCAACACACGTACACAGAAACACATAGAGACACACACACAGAAAAAACATACACCGATACACACACCACACTATTTGGTGATACTCCGAGCTCCCAGGGAGGCTGCTTGTAGACTCGCCCACAATTTGTTTTAAAAGTCGCCCAGTTGATCAAAAACTTCCCCTGCCCTGGAGAGAATGTGGCTTCATTCCACACACACAAATCTCCAGTCAGATATGGAACTGTCAGTAGGTTGGTTTGGAGAGTTTAAAGCCTGATGACAGGTTTGTGTGTGTGTGACGGACACACGGCTGACAATAGTAGACAACTACAAACCAACAGTGGAGGGATTGACGGGACCAGGCCAGGAGCTTCGGAATTAGATACAATGGGAGCGGGTTTGGGGCTTGGAACCAGTTTAGGGGTCGGAGCTGTGACAGTCCACATTTTACGAGAGCTGGGGTTTCCAGCACATGGTTTCTTCTTAATCCATGTTGAGAGTTTGATGTAAATTTGGCTTGTGGCCTCACACTGTCACGTGGATTCTTGTCACAAAAATACATTGAGATATTGGTGTCATTCAGACTCTGGAGACACAATGTTTTACTCACTCCAGGCTCTCTATTTTACCCTCCGGGTTTCTCAGAGCCTCACACAGTCGCTTCACTCCACAATCTCCCAGATTATTCTTATTCAGGATCAGCTGCGTCAGAGAGCAGCTTGTACTGAGAGCGTCGGCCAGATCCTCAGTACAATCAGCTGTCAGATTGTTGTCCCCCAGCCTGGAGATCAGAGACATAAGAAAGATCAGAATAAATACAACCCACTGTATAACCCACTGTAACTCACACTTTGTTTGATGCTAGACAGTTTGCAGGAATGTGCGCTCGCGCACACACACACACTCAAACGCACACAGAGACACAGATATGCGCACACAAACTCACATGCTAACAAGCAAACAGAAACAGAAACTCACATACACAGACAAACACATGACCCACAAACAAATACGCACAAACAGAAAAAAATACAAACAAAATCCCGCACACACACCCACAGAAGCACGCATGCACACCAACGCACAAACACTCAAGGAACAAACATAATCATAATAATAATCCTTGCATTTGATATAGCGCTTTTCACGTCGGGAGGACGTCCCAAAGCGCTTCACAGAATATACTGTAAAGTGAACTGACTGTATATTTGTGGGCGAACGCGGCAGCCAATTGCGAACAGCAATGTCCCACAAACATACACACAAACGTACAAACACACGGGCACCAAAACACATGCACACATACCCAAACATGCACACGCAAACAAATACACACGCGCGCACAAATACGCACACACACAAAAACACACACACAAATACACACATAGACACACATAAACAAAATCGCACACACACAAACAGTAATGCACAAACATACACACACAAAGAAATTCACAAGCACAAATAAGCAGACAGAAAGAATCACAAATACGCAGAAACCACATAAGCAGAAGCACACAGAAATACAAAGACACACAAAATATACAGATACATACACAAACACACACACACACAAACAAACACACTGACAGACACAGGCATACATGCACAAGTACACGCGCAAATACACACACAAAAAGACACACACGCGCGCACAAGCTCACGTGCACACATACACGCAGATGCAAAATCATGCACAATAATACACACGTAGAAACAAAGAAACACACGAAAATACATACGCAGAAACATAAAAACATAAAAACATAAAAACATAGAAATATAAAAACATAAAAACATAAAAACATAAAAACATAAAAACATAAAAACATAAAAACATAAAAACATAAAAACATAAAAACATAAAAACATAAAAACATAAAAACATAAAAACATAAAAACATAAAAACATAAAAACATAAAAACATAAAAACATAAAAACATAAAAACATAAAAACATAAAAACCATCAGCATACACACAAACAAACACACACAAACGCGCACACACAAACAGAAACACATATAGAAGCACACAAACACATACACAAACACATACATCCACTGCCACACAATTACACACACAGCAAAACAAATGCAAGCACACACACAGAAGGACACGTCGAACAACACACACACACTTACGTACATGCGAAAACATACACAAAAACAAACATACACACACACACACAAATTCACAGACACACGAGCAAAAATAAATCCAGAAACACACATGCACACACAAACAAATAGAAACAGACAATTAAACACGCATATTGAAACACACAAACATTGAAACGCAAACACAAAAATCACACAAACAAACAAAAACAAATACACACACCCAAGCACACACACAAATACCGACAAACACAAACGCACATATAAAAAGAAACACTCAGAAATACAATACGCACATACAGAAATATACATTCATAGATTCATAGAATCCAAGAATGTTATGGCACAGAACGAGATCATTCGGCCCATCGAGTCTGTGTGGCTCTTTGACAGAGCAACTGACTTTTATTAACCCCACTCACCAGCTTTCTCCCCATAACCCTGAAAAACTGTCTTCCCCAGATACCTATCCAGGTCTCTCTTAAAAGCTGTTGTTGTATCGGACTTCACTGCCCTTTCGGACCGATCATTCCAAATTCTAACAACTCGCTGAGTGAAAAAAAATTCTTCTAACCTCCCCTCTGCTTCTATTGGTAGATATCTTAAGACTGGGACCACGGGTCACAGTCACACCTACCAGCGGAAACAGCTTTTCCTTATCTCGCCTGTCGAAATCTTTCATGATATTGAAGACCTCTATCAGGTCCCTGCGTAACCTTCTCTGCTCTGATGGGATAAGTCCTAACTTCTCCAGCCTGTCCTCATAGCTAACGTTCCCCATTCCAGGTATCATTCTCGTGAATCTCTTCTGCACCCTTTCCAGTGCCTTAATGTCCTTTTTGAAGTACGGTGCCCAGAACTGGACGGAGTCCTCCAGCTAGTCCTAACCAGTGTTTTGTATAGATTAACCATAACCTCCCTACTCTTATACTGTATGCCCCTACTAATAAAGCTCAGTTAAACAAATGCCTTTTTTACTGCCTTATCTACCTGCCCCGCTACCTTTACTGATTCGCTAACTTGAACACCCAGATCACTCTGTACCTTCACCCCCCTTAAGATTGAGCTGCCAAGCCTATATTGCCTCCTATTATTTTTCCTACCTAAGTGCATCACCTCACACTTATCCACATTGAAATCCATCTGCCACATGTCAGCCCACTTCCACCATTCTGTGTATGTTTGCTTGCATTTGGTTACAGTCCTCCTCACTATTTACTACCCTACCTAACTTAGTATCATCTGCAAACTGGGAAATAGTGTACTCTATGCCCGAGTCCAGATCATTAATGTATATTGGAAAGAACAGTGGTCCCAATAAAGATCCGTGGGGGACACCACGGCACACCTCCTTCCATTTCACGAAAAACCCATTAACCACCACCCTATGCTTTCTGTCACTCAGTCCGTTCTTAATCCAAACTACCACTATCCCCTTAATACCGCGGGCCTCTAATTTGTTTGCTTAATCTCTTATGCGGTACTGTGTCAAAAGCCTTTTTGAAATCCATGTAAATAACGTCCACCGCATTTCCCTCATCAACCCTCGCAGTTACCGCTTCAAAAAATTCTATTAGATTTCTTAGGCAAGATTTGACTTTAACAAATCTATATTGGCTCTAATTACCTCATGATCCTCTAAGTAGAGATTCATTCTGTCGCGGATTATTGTCCCCAGTAGTCTTCCTTTTATATGCACTTGAGGAAATTATCCGCTTTTACCTGATCTACACTTCGCACTTGTCTTTTTCATCTTATCTCTAATCCATTGTTTATCCTTGGATACCCATCCCCCTCGACACTGGTTTAAATCCGCCCCTACAGCATTTGATAATCTCTTGGCAAGGAAGCTCACCCCTGCCTATCTTAAGTGCCGCCCATCCTCAAGGTAAAGATTCCACCTCCAGCATTAGTTGTCCCAATCGTCCAGAAAACTGAAACCTTCTTTTCCAGAACACTTCCCCAGCCAATCGTTCATGCGACTGATCCTTTCATTATGGTGCCTTGTTGCCTGAGGTACGGAAGTAACCCAGAGATCACCACCTTGGATGTGCTGGAATTGAGTTTGCTCCCCAGCTTTTGATACTCGCCCTGGAGCATCTCAGCCCTCTTCTTACCAATATCATGGGTCCCCACATGGACTACGACTTCTGAACAATCTCCTTCCCCCCGAAGAATCTTGTCCATGCGCTCTGTGAAGTCCACTACCCTTGCACCAGGAAGGCAGCAAACCATCCTAGCCTTACGATACTGATTACAGAAGATGTGTCACTGCCTTTTACTGTTGAATCGCCTATCACAACTGTATTGCCGTTGTGAACCATTCCCTTGTCCTGTTGGATAGAATGTCCACCGCTGTCTGTAGAGACTCGAGAGGGGTTCCTTCAGCTCCCCTCTCGACTCTCTACCATCTCCTTGCTCCCTCCCTTCCCCCTGCTTTCCCTGAACATTTCCACCCTAATCGTGATCCGACCCAACTTTCTAGCGCCTTGGGACGTCCTTCCGAAGTGAATCGCGCTTAATAAATGAAATATTGTTGTTGTTGTCCTCACGAGAGGCTTCCACGCTCTCGACAGCTAATGTTGAGTACCTATTAGAGACTGGTACTCAGTTGGGGGTGTTGTGCCTTGAACAAGCCCTCTTCTTGCCCCGTCGCACTGTCACCCAATCACTTTTAGCATGAATGAAGGGTGGCCGTGGGTTGGGCTCCCTGGGAGTGGTCCTTTACTTGAACTCTGACCGCTCGATAGCTCCAGTATCCCTCTCTCATGGCTGCTGTACAGCGATGGTCTGCTATAACTGGGTCCTAGGGGAGTGAGAGTCCAGGAACCTCTCACTGTCCCTGATGGAGCGCACTGTCTGTACCTCGGACTCCAGCTCAGCTATTCTAAGTTGGAGCTTGCTCAGTTGCAGACATTTGCTGCAGATGAAGTCAGCTGGGCTCAGTTTGCCCTCCGTCAACTCCCACATACCACATTCTTTGCACCCACACAAACCCACTCATGCAAACATGCAAACGCAATTGCACAAACACACACATACAGGATCAGACAAGCAAATACAAACACACACAAAGAAACACACAAGCACACACAATGATATACACAAGGACAGAAACATACACACAGAAATATAGAGACACACACATAAATACAGAGTCACCCCCAGACACACACAGAAACACACATAGCCATAAACAAAAACGAACACCCAAATCACAAAAAACAACAAGATTCCATTTATAGAGCACCTTTCACGTCAGGAGGACGTCCCAAGGCGCTGTACAGTTGGGTCAGGATCCGAGCAGGGGGTAAATGGTCAGGGTGAGGGGAGGGAAGGGAGGGAGCGAGAAGGGGTAGAGATTCGAGTGGGGAGCTGAAGGTACGGTCAAAGAGAAAGGTCTTGAGACCGGTCTTTAAGGAGGAAAGGGAGGAGGCGGCGAAGGCACTGGGGGGGATAGAGTTCCAGAGCCTAGGGGCTGAGAGGCTGAAGGCTCGGCCACAGATGGTAGGGCGTTTGGGCCGGGGGATATGGAGCAGACCGGAGCCAGAGGAACGGAGGTTACAGGCAGGAAGGTAGGCGGATAGTAGGTCGGTGAGGGAGGAGAGTGCAAGGCCGTAAATGGCCTTGTAGGTGAGGATGAGGATCTTGAATTCGATCCTCTGGGGCAATGGGGAGCCAGTGGAGGTGAGCGAGGGTTGGAGCGATGTGTTACCGAAGCCTGGTGCGGGACAGTACACGAGCTGCAGAGTTCTGAATGACCTGCAACTTGTGGAGGGAGGTGCCGGGAAGGCCGGCGAGGAGAGAGTTCCCATCGTCCAGCATTGAGTTGATAAAGGCGTGGACCAGAGTTTCAGCAGCGTGAGGGGTGAGGTAGTGCCGCAGTCTGGCAATATTCCGGTGGTGATGGAAGGCGTTGCCAGTTGTGGCGCGGATATGAGGAAGAAAGGACAGCTCAGGGTCCAACAGAACACCGAGTTTCCTGACTGGTTTTGAGAGGTGGAGAGTGCAGCCATGGATGCTGATACTGTCAGCGCCAGAGGTGCAGAGGCGCTTACGTGAGCCAATCAGGAGGGCCTCAGTTTTAGGCACGAGCTGAAGAAAGTTGTCTCTCGTCCAGGACTCGATGTCGGACAGGCAGGCTGTCAGGACATTGGTGGTCTTGGAGTTGAGTGTAGAGGAGGAAAGGTAGAGTTGGGTGTCATCCGCATACATGTGAAAGTTAGCCCCATGTCTGCGGATGATATCACCAAGGGGGAGAGGTACAACCTAAACCTGCGTGGAGTCCTGTAGCTCAGTTGTCAGAGCACTCGTTCTGTAAGCGAGAGATCTGAGTTCAATTCCAGACAGGGCGAATCCTTGGGCAAGTTTCCTTACAACACACAGAGCCTAATAATAATCCCTCCAAAACAAAACAATAATAAATTGGTCATTTTCAATCTACGACTGTTTGTGGGATATTGGTGTGCGCAATTGGCTGCCTCGTTCGCCCACAAATATACAGTCAATTCATTTTACAGTCTATTCTGTGAAGCGCTTTGGGTCCTCCCGATGTGAAAAGCGCTATAACAAAATGCAATAATAATAATTATTATTATTATAAACCACTCAAGGACAGGGTCTTGAAGGTTGACGTGGGAGGACAAGCGGTGAAGGAGGATAGCATGGTAGACCGTATCGAATCCTGCCGATAGGTCAAGGAGGACGAGGGGGCAGAGGGAGCCCTGGACACAGATGGTCAGGATGTCATTGGTGACCTTGACCAGGGCAGTTTCTGTGCTATGGGCAACACGGAAACCCGACTGAAGAGGTTCGAATAATGAATGGGTGGAGAGCAAAAAGCGCAGCTGGGAGGCGACAACTCGTTCCAGGACCTTGCATAGGAAAGCTAGGTTGGAGATGGGCCGGTAGCTTGATAGTTGCGACGCATCAAGGGAGGATTTTTTCAAGGTGGGAGCGATGGGGGCAGTTTTTAAGGGAATGGGAATCGAGCCAGAGGAGAGGGACAGGTTGACTATGTCTGTGATATGTAGGGCAAGGAGGGGGAGCTGGGACATAAGGAGTGGAGTGCGAATGGGGTCAAGGGAGCAGGTGGTGGGTTTCAGGGATAGGATGAGTTTGGTGACAGAGGGTGGGGAAACGGATACGAAAGTGTGTAGGGGAGGATGGGTAGGAGTCGGAGTGTCGGAGGGAGGGAGTGGGGGGGTGGGTGGATGTTGGAGAGGAAGTGACCGCGCAGCGAATTCCCTTGATTTTGGATTCAAGGAAATCCAGCGTCTCCTCGCAGTGAAGGTTCGAGGAGATGACCTGCGTGGGGTGGCGGGGGGGGGGGGGGGGGACGGAGGAGTCGGGATGTGGTAGAAAACAGTAACCTGGGGTTGTTCTTCACCTCTAGGATTATCCTGGAGTAGAAGGACGACTTTGCCGAGGATAGAGTGGAGTGGCAGATTTTGAGGATGTCGGGCCAGATTTGTCGGTGGACCGTTAGGCCAGATTTGACGCAGGTGCGTTCATCGGCCCGCAACTGGCTTTTCAGTGAGCGGAGGTGGGTGGTGAACCACGGGGATGAGCGAGAGTAGGAGACAGTACGAGAGGTGACGGGGGCAAGAGTATCGTGTGTGGAGGAGAGGGTGTTGTGGAGGAGGATGAGAGGAGAAGAGGGGTCGGTGAGGGTTGAAGGCCAGAGGCAGAGGAGTTCACAGGACTCCAAGGCAGCGGTTAGGGATTGAGGGGGTAACTTCTTCCAGGGGCAGTAGAAGATGGTGTTGGGTCTGGTGGAGGTGGGTGGAGGTGGTGAAGGAGATGAAGTGGTGGTCGGAGACGGCCTTGTCGGTGACAAACACAAAGAAACACATAAACACACACACCCAAAGGCAAACATACACACAAATACATACAGAGACATTCACAAACGTACAAAAACACTCACAAAAGTATTCACAAACGCACGCACACACAATCACACACACAAAACATACATATGCAGACACACGCAAACACACACAGAATCACAAACACAAGATCAGATACACACACAAATCACACACAACACACACATACAGACCACACTCTCCCCCACAAACCCCAAGCCCAACCCCCATCCCCGCATGCACAGACACAAATAGAGAAAGAGGTACAGACACATGCACATACACCCAAAGACATAGACACGTAACACAGACACATTAATGCACGTTGAGAGTTTGATGTAAAAGATGGCGTGTGGCCTCACATTGTCACACCGATTACTTTCACAATATTCAGCCTCACTGATCAGGCATTCACAATAAATACATTGATATTGGAGCCATTCGGACTCTGGAGACACAATGTGTTACTCACTCCAGACTCCGTATTTTACACTCCGGGTCACTCAGAGCCTCACACAGTCGCTTCACTCCACAATCTCCCAGATTATTGCTCTCCAGCCTGGACACAGAGACACAAACACAGGTAATATAGCGTCACAACACAATACACTTTGACGTGTGTATTTTGGAGACTTTCACGTAGCAAGTTCCAAGGCCAGGGTCGGATACACCTCACATGTGACACGATCATCAAACAGCTGACATTTTTATTGATTCACGTGTTGTCCATCAGGTGGCCCATGGGCGTTTGGCCCGTGGGCGTGTGGCCCCGCTCTCACTCTTTGGTTCCTCTCCCTCCGATTCACTCCTTCCCTCCTTCTTCTCCCTTCCCTTCACTCCCTCATTCCCATCCCCTTGTTCCTTCCTTCCTCTTCATCCCCCTCGCTGCTTCCCTTCCATCCTTACCCTCCCTCACTCTATCTCTCCCTCAATCTCCTCCTTCCATCATTTACCTCCCTCCTTCCTCTCCTTACTCTCTCTCCCCTCCTTCTTTCCCTCCCCTCTCTCCTTACACTCCCTCCTACCTGTCCCTCCCTTCCCCCTTCCCTCACTCCTTCGATTTCCTCCATCTTTACTCTCCATAATTCCTCTGCCTCCCTCTCCCCTTCCCTCTCACTCATTTCTATCGCTTCCTCTCCCACCCCCACCCCTTTCCTCATTTTTCGTCTCCTTCTTTAATCTCCTTCCCTCCTTGCTCTCCCTGCCCCTACTTTTCTCTCTCCCATTCCTCCCTTCTTCTTTCCCATCCCTCCATCTTTCCTCCCACGTCTTCCTCTCCCTCCCTGACTCCCTCCTCTCCCTCCTTTCTCCCCTCCTTCTTCTCCAACCCTGCATCCTCTCCCTCCTTCATCGTCCTCCCTACTTCCTCTGCATCCCCCCTCCCTCCTCTCTTCCCTGCCTAATTCCCGCCCTGCACCTCTCTTGCTCCTTCCCCTGCCCTCCTCTCCTTCCTTCCATCCTACCATTTTGTATTCTCCCTCCCTCCTTTCCCTCCCTCCCCTCTCGCTGCTTCCCCACCACCCTCGTTCCCTCCTTCCCCTCCCTCGCCTCCTCCTTCTTTGAACTCCTTCCTTTCCTCCTTCCATTCCCTACTTCCACCGCTTGTTTTCCCTTGTTCCCCGCTTACTCCTTCCCAACCCTCACCATACATAGATCCCTCACCCTACCCTCCCTACTTCCACTCCCTCCTTCCATTCCTTACATCCTTCCCACCCCTCTATGCCCTCGCTCCTTACAATCTTTCCGTCTTTCCGCTCCTCCCTCTCCCTTCCTCCCTTCTTCCCCTCCCTCTCTCCTTCCCTTCCTCCTTGTCATCGCTCCTTCGTATCCTTCCACCTTGCTCCTTCCCACGCTCTTTCCGCCTCTCCCTCCTTCCCCTGTTTTCCGACTTCCCGCTCCTTGCCCCCCCTCCTTTCCTCCCCTCCACCCGAACTTCCCCGATGCTCAAGATATGGTTATTAAGACACATGTTGTCTTGTTGACATATTGCATTAATGGCGAGTTTTATTTTCGTACTCCTTAGTGCATCCCCCTAATCGATGGCTCCTGACACTGCCCTGGAAGGATATTAACCAGAATGGGAGCGAGCGGATGTTGGAATGTTGGAATGGCACGAATGAATCACTGCCGGGTCTGAATTGGCCCACGGATTGCCAGTTGGCCACCTGGATGTGGTCCTCGGACCGTTCCCAAATCACAAGGAATCTCACGGGAACCAAGAGGTTGTACGAAACTGAAGAGTAATGTGTCAGAGCTTGGGGGGACGAGCTTGGAGGGTTCGAGCGGCCCCCAGTCTCAACGACAACAGCAACACACTGCAATTGTGGCACCTTTCACTTTAGCACGACGTCCAAAGGCCTGGGACAATGAGAGATTTGCATCCGAGCTTGCAGTTGGGATCAGAGTTCGGATGAAGGGAGGGAAATTGGGGTGGAGGATGACGGAAATCACAATGAAAGAGGGAGTTCATTGAGATGATTGTTCATTGGGGTTTGAAGGAGACAATGGTGGGCCGAGTTGTAGGGGCTGCAGGATGGAGTTCCAGAGGCTGTGGTAGAGTGGCTGAAGTTCCAACCACTAAAGTTGGAACGGGCTGGCCACGGGCATGGAGGAGGCCATTGTTTGCCGAGCAGAGGGAGCGGAAAGGTTTGTAATGTTGGTAAACACACCTTCCTCCCTTTCACAAACCCCTGTGTTGCAAGTACCTGGTTTGGTCACTGCCCCCTCTAGGCCTCTCTCCTACTCTGATTCCATCAGCTCAGTCCCCACAGCACTCACTCCATGCACTCAGCAGCCAAGTTTCCTTCGTCTCATGTGACGAGGCAACAGGCTTCCTGTTTCCTGTCCTTAGTGCAGCAGATCCTACCGGAACTGCTGTCCAGAACACAGAGAGCTTACGGGGTGGGGGGGGGGGGGGGGCTTCATCTCCAGTATATGACACAGTAAAGGGGTAACTGAACCCCGCACCCCCGTAAAACACAAAGCACCACACCACAGGATGCCTCTTCCCTGCAAGTCCTAAGGCTTTACACTCTCAGGGCTCAGATTACCTGCCTTCTCCACGGCTGGTAGACAGAGTCGCCCATTATAACAGTGCAAGTGACCTGAGAGTGAGGATAGGGCAGTGGGACCAGCTGATGCCATGAGGCGCTATTCAGGCTGTGAGGAACCGGGCCGCATGCTGTCAGGATCACAGGCCGATTGAGAGAGCGAGTGTGTAACCTGATCAATCAGCCAATGGCCTGAGGGAGTCTCCTCCTCACAATGATGGACATCAGATTCTGGCTGTTTTGAGCATAGCGGGTTGACAAGAGGAAGGTTGTAGGTTGGTATCAAGCTGTGAAGCGCTTGTTCCCAGGCCATTCACTCTGTGGTTTGAGGGAGGAATGCCTGAGGACTGGCCACATGCTGAGGTCAGGACTGTTGTGGAGAAACCTTTCCAGTGTCTTTAGAGCTATTCTGTACAGGATGATGTGAGCAGTAAGGGCTGTGAGGAACAGAGGGGCCATTTGAGTGAGAGCGGGGTGGTAAAAGATTATACCAACCCTGACTCTGACCAGTCACTGGAGATCACTGAGCTTTTCACGGTGTAAATAAACTAGTTGATGAACAAACCTGTCTCCATCGGTCTGTCAATACCTGCCTGGCTCAAGCCATCCACAGTACATTAGTATTATTCTTTCCATTTGATGTAGCATCTCTCACGTCATGGAGGCATCTCAAAGTGCTTCCTTCAAGCGATTTAGTGTAAAGTGTAGTGACTGTGTGTTTGTGGTCCAAAACAGCAATTAACATCCCATAAGTGTGTGTTTGAGCCTCACTAGGTGTGAACTCCATGGTGTGCAGTTTAGCTCAGTGTGACATGTGTGAGAGCATTACCACCATCTCCCTCCCACTGCTCGGGCACACGTCCCTTCACATTGAACCATGTTGTTGGTGAGGAGCTTAAACAGCAACTGCTGATCTCTCCGTAAACCAGTCAAGGTGGATTCCAAGCCCTGGATATATGAACGTGCTGTCACTAGCTCAGCTCCAGGTCAAGCATGTCAGCAGCTGTCACCATAATATGGAGATACAAACCCTGGTCTGAATTACACTAAATCCAGGGCTGCGCTCTAAGGAATGGAGCAGTTAAACACACTGTGACTCTACACTATATAAATACAAGTTGTTATTGATTTGTACAGAGAATATAAACCATGGTCTGAATTAGATCAACTGCAGGACTGTGCTTTGAGGATTTATAGAGAGAATCTACACAAGCATTAGTTCACTGTAACTGCAGAGCTGAGCAGTGAGGCAGGAAAAGTGTCAGTCAGGTCAGATAAACCCTGGAGGATCTTGTTATACAATAAGATGGATGTAGTGACATCAGCTGTAAACGGAGTGGAGGCTTTGAGGGGCTGAGACCAGCTGTTGTATTGTGTATGGAGTCAGGTCAGGCTGCGGGGAGCAAAGAGGACAGGGATTGAACGACAGGGACAGCCACAGAGATGGCTCAGGTCACAGCCCGGGTACAGGTGATGGCTCTGAACATTCCCAGCCAGGTCTCAGCCAGTGCGCACAAGTCAAGGCTTTAACATCGAGGGTCAATTACAGACAGATTGTGTTTATGGATTCTCCCCCAATTACACCATCTGTATATCAGTATATTCACCCACCGCTAACACAACTCACTGACTGGCTGATAATCTACAGGTTTATGAATGTATTCATCAATAAGGACAAACCTGAGATGTTGGCACTTGTGCAGTGCGGGCACCAGATGCTGGATCCCTTCAGCTCCGATGTTACAGCTGTTGAGATTGAGGTTTTTTATGGTGTTACAGAGCTGTAACACATGAGAAAGCACAGCACAGTCCAGAGGTTTCAATGTGAACTCACTGAAGTCCAGTGTCTCCGCAGCTCCGAGAATGTCCTGGGGTAGTCTGTAGTTCTGCGACTCAAACAGATAGTACATCATGTTCAGCAGCTTCCTTTTACAATCGTGACTCCCTGACAGTTTAATCGCCGCCTCAACATTCACTTTCAGCCAGGAGATGGCTTTATCAACTGATTCGTGAGGTAAAGGCCCCAGGATCTCCTCCAGTTGTCGAGGTGTGTGGGGCGAGGAGAGACCCACAACAAACCGCAGAAATATCTCAAAACGCCCGTCGTTCTCCTTCTGAACCCGGTGAAGCAGCTTATGCAGATCCCTGCAGCCGGGAGTCAGGTACTGAGCGAGGGCAGCCACAAACTCCTGGACGATGAGATGAGGGAATGTGTACACAAATCGTCTCCCACCATTATCCTTCTCCAGAATCTCCATCATAAACCCTGAGATGAAGGTTGAGGGTTCAAGCTGATGGCGATCGAAATGGTCATCATCGAACACAGTGGTCCTGTAATAGATCCCCTCATAGGCCATCTCCCCGGCTCTCAGCATTACCTCCCGAGGGTTCTCAGTAGCTCGGGAATGGTTCTTCAGGATGTTATAAATGTAACTGGAGTACACCTGTGTGATGGTTTTGGGGGGAGGCTGTTTTGGTTCTGGATCTATGAACATTGGCTCCACTGTGCAGCAGAGTATCCAGCAGTAGGAAGGGTTGAAGCACATGGTGTACAGGATGTCATCCTCCTTCACATATCTCAGCACTTCAGCTGCAATCTTCTCATCTGGAAAGAAGCGTCTGATGTAATCTTCCCTTCCCTCAGCGAAGAATCCCAGGATTTCAGCCAAGCGGTCGGTGTGGATGTGATCTAAAGACTCCATGGAAGTTGGGCGGCTTGTGATCAGCACTGAACAGCCTTTCAGTACTTCCTGCTGCACCATAGAGTGCACAATGACAGCCACGGGACAGAGGCATTCAGGCCCCGGGCAGATGACACGAGTGACTGGGCTTCTGTCACTCTCTGTGAACTCCATCCTGTCCTTGAACTCGTCCAAACCATCAAACACAAAAAGTAAATGCTGCGGCTTCTCCCAGATCTTGTCCAGAACATCCTGAAGATAAGGATATGATTCCAGGACCATGGTTTTCAGGCTTGTTTCCCCTTTTATCACGTTCAGGTCACGGAATTTGAAATGAAAGAGAAAATGGATCTGGGGATAGATATTTCCTGTGGCCCAGCGGTACAGAATGTTCTGCACCATGGTGGTTTTCCCAATCCCTGCGATCCCACTCAGGACGGTTGTCCCGAAAGTAGATCCAAACAGCTCATTCGATCGTATTTTCTTCACCTCTTTCGTGATATTCTTCTCTTGCCGCAGCTCATGGTCTCTGCCTCTCGCCACCAGTTCATGCTCCACTAGCCTCCGCTCACGGAGAGATGAAGTGACTATTAATTCTGTGTATTGGTCAGACAGTTCAAATGTCTTGCGCTTCTCCCGTCCTCGTAGCGTGTTAACCGACAGCTTCTCATTCTGGGAGCGGAGGGTTTCTTTGTGCTGTTTTTGAAAGTCTTAAAATTGAACATTAGATTCTATCAATATTGCCACACATTTATTACAGTAACCCACGAAAACAAGTGCATACATTTCTATTGATGCATGGGTGCACAGTCACACATACATAAAAACATACATGCACGCATACATACTACACCCACAAAATAATAGTAATCCATGTATTTCATATGGCACATTACCACGTCTTCGAGGCGTCTCATAGCGCTTCACAGAACATACTCTAAAGCAGAGTAACTGTATATTATGTGGGCAAAATGCGGCAGCAAATTGCACACAGCATTGTCCAACATACAGCCGTTGATAAGTGACCAAATTATTATTTGATTACCCTGGCAAGCAATCCGCCAATCGAATGACAGGCGAGTTCACTGACTGCTGGATAAATAGAGGCGTGTGGAGTAAGGAAACTTGCCTTGTGGAGTCCTGTAGCTCAGTGGTTAAAGCACTCGCTTTGCAAGCGAGACACTAAGTTCAATTCCATGCAGGGCAAAACCTTGGGCAAATTTCCTTACGCCACACGCCTACTAAAAATCCCTCCAAAACCAAAAACAATAATAAATTGGACATTTTCAATCCACGACTGTTTTTGGGACATTGCTGAGCGCAATTGGCTGCCGCGTTCGCCCACAAATATACAGTCAATTCACTTTACATTGTGTTCTGTGATGCGCTTTGGGACGTCCTCGCGTCGTGAAAAGCGCTAAATAAAATGGAAGGATTATTATTATTATGTTTCACTCTGACCGTGAATCGAATCCAGGCCGTCTCGCTTGCACATGAGATTGTACAACACTGAAACATATTAGTCACCCCAACCAGTCCTCCACAGTGTTTATATTATACACAAGATACCCACGTCCATATACCCCATCAACGGTCACATGTGGACCGCTCTATTTCCATCTTTGTCATTTACACATACAATATATTCTTTGTTAAATAATGAGATGGTTTACTTCGGTTTAAAGCCGATGTATCTCACACAATTACAATAAATTAACTACATTTGCCTTCATTTGACACTTCCACAGCGTACCACCATAGTCTGAATTTTTTCCATCCTCCCCCGAATCCACTTTCTCCAGTTCCCTAGCTGGTGGATTTCCAGATCCATGGCCTGACTTTCAAATACCTACATGTTTTCAGTTCTCCTGAACTGTGTCACATTCACCAGCTCTATATTGCTGCTCATGCGCACTCTTCCTCTTCCTCCATCTGGCTCTAAGCTATCTCCATCCACCGCCTTTCACACACGAACCTCTTTCTCTGAAACTCTCTCCTTAATTCCCGATATTTTTTGAATTGTTTCCACCATTTCACACCAGAGCATTCAGTGAAGTCCCCTAAGTTCCCTTCCTCTCCTCCTTGCTTAGTTTCCAAATTGCCTTGTGAAACACTTGGTGACTTTCATCTGAGGTGAAAGGTCTTTTATTAAAAGCAAAATGATTTCATGTTTAATATCAGTTTGATGTGATTATGTTGAAGGACTCCATTATCCATATGCACTTACCTGCAAGTTCTTCTGGCACCTTCTCCTCACACCAGCACCGAAATACCTCAGTGGGAAGACTTTCACCTGATGATGTTTAATATGAGTTAGTTGTGAAACGAACCTAACAGAAGACAAAGTCTTTATTTTGGGGTGTTTATTAATATCATTATGGAATACTTTCATGGAAGTCACCGAACTCTATCCCTTTAGCCTTAACACTGGATGGAGTACCGCGTTTTGACCGATTGCCTTTTAGACGTCAAGTTCAGACTGAGTTGTAACTTTCTCCAGTTTAATGTCAACAAGACGAACACCTCCTGCCTTTGCTACCGTCAGCTCCTACTGAAGTCATCTACTGGAAACAAGCTCCACATTTTGGAGAGAGTGACGACGCTCTGCGTCCTGTTTGATCTGTTTACTCCCAAACCCGTTGCCTCCCATCGAGTGGCTCTGGCCTCCGCTTCGTCCCCCATGCGCTCTGTTACACCATTGGTGATTGTTCTCTGGAATTTTCTTCCTTCTGTCCATCTGACTCGTCCCCTCCTTCCTTATATTCAGCTCGCTCCTGAAGACCTTCTTCGACCGCGACTGTGGTCACCTCCAGCTCAATGTCGTGCTCTGCACCTGATAAGCGCTCTGGGATGCTACCCCGCATGAGAGGGCGCTATATAAATGCAAGTTGTCGTTGTCCCTCATTGACTTTACCTTACATCAACAAAATTGTCCATCTCCACCTTGACCCACTTGTCCTGAGACATTCAATTCATGCCATCAACAATTTCCGGCCCAACTATTCCATCACTGCTCTCTGGTCAAGCTCACGGCTGTCCCAAAATCTGCAGCCTTTGCTCTCTCCCACAACAGTCTCTGAGCCTATATTTTCTAATCTTGCTTGACATCACTAACTCCCTATACCCAAAGGGGATTCCAAGATTCCCAGATTCTAAACCTTTCCATCACTTCAGTGCCTTCAACTGTGCAGCGCCTTGGGACGTCCAACTGTGCAGCGCCTTGGGACGTCCTCCTGACGTGAAAGGCGCTTTATAAATGGAATCTTGTTGTTGTTGTTGTTCACCAACCCTTTCTCTGTGACCTCGCGAAATGCCACCAAGCAGGTCATTCACTCAACAACGGAAGAATATGCTAAAGTGAAAGAAGACAAAGTTCCATCTAGTTCGCTTTCAACCACTCTGGCAGTCAATCTGTTGTCATGTCTTGAACCAGACTATATACCGTATCCTACAATATTATTTTCCAGGTTAAATGTATCTAATTTGTTCTTAAACAAATGCAATTTCCTGCTTCCAATGTCTGTCTCCCTGAGGAGCCTATTCCCTCAGTTTACTAATTGCTCACTAAATCGTGGTTTTGCAGAATTTTTCGGGATTTACCCGCTTTAATCGCGGGCCGTTTCCTCTGGTTCTATTGTTCAGTGAACGATGAAACAATTTCTCATGGTCCACATTAAATGTTCACTTCACTCAACAGCTACTCATCTGCTTCATGTGCCCTGTCCTACCTGGCTCTCCATTGGGAATTTCTCCTCTGTTCTCTGGAGTTGTATCCTATTATACATCTAACGTAACTCTTGCCACGGACCTTCAACTTACACCTTAAGGCCTATCACTTCAAACACACGTTTGGCCTCCTTACCACCTCTCCGACCTCCTCACGCCTCTCTGACCTCCTCATATATCAATCCACCACTTGGTGCCTCCGCTCGAATAGCACCTGTTCTTGATCGTCCCTCGCATCCTCCACCCCAACATAGGAGGTCGCACGTGCAACCAATGCAACCCAAAACTCTGGAACACTTTCCCGTAAACCCTCCGTCTTTCAAGCGAAAAACCTGAGTTCAAATCCAGGCAGGGCTAAATCATGGGCGAGTTTCTTTACTCCACATGCCTGATAATAATCCCTCCAAAAAAAAAAACAATAATAATTTGGTCATTTTCAATGCATGACCGTCTGTGGGACGCTGCTTTGCCGAATTGGCTATCGAGTTTCTCCCACGAATATACAATCAACTCACTTTACAGCATATTGTGTGCAATGCTTTGAGACCTCTAGAAGACGACTAACGAGCTATAATAATTATTATTATTAACTGCAAGCGGGTAGATTCCCTCAAGGCAGCAGAGTTGAACATTAGTGATCGACTAGCTATGCATTAGGGCAGGTGAAGTCTTTATAAATGATGTATTAGAAGAGACCTTGCTAGGGGACACAGTACCCTGTACCTGGAGAAGAGGATTGTGTTTCTTTCAGAAAAGGGGCCACAAATGGTGGTCAGCAAAAGGGGAAGGAGCGGACATGTCAAGGGCTCTCCATCAGATTCTCTCCGCTAGAGAGAGAGATTATATTGATACTCAAGTGATGGCTGAGACAGGCAATACAGTGCCGTGCACTGAGGCAATCCAGCAGCCAACGAGGGAAGGAGTGACGTAGAGAAAGAGTAGCAGACAAGTTGTGATATTAGTGGATTCGACTATTTGGTACACAGATCGCATTCTGTGCAAACAAGACCCTTGAAATCGAATGTACGTTAGTACTGAGTGCACAGTTTCAGGATCTAATGACCGTAGTTCAACAAAGGCTGCAGAGACCAGATGTGGAATCAACTATAACTTTTCATGTGGGAAGAAATAACACAGAAGAAGTAGAACAGACTAGACTCACGTGCTAGTGAGAAAAACATGAATGTAATTAGGCAGAAGAACGAATGGCTAAGACATTGGTGTTGGCCTTCATTTTCTTAAACAATGGGGTAACTTTTGGAAAAGGGGTATATATACAGAAAGGATCGGCACCTCCTCAACAAAATGCGGTGGATGTTTTGATAGGCAGGATGGATTGTTTAGTTAGAGAGTGTTCAAACGAGGCACAGGGCTTGTTGCGGTACGTGTAAGAGAAAACAGGAACCGATTAGGAAGAAACCTTAAAATGTAAAAGGGTAACGGGTCAAACTCCAAAGTTTGGTGAAAAAGAAACAAAAAATGCCTATCCAGTGAATAAAATGGCACAAGATAATGGAGCTCAATTAGCATTAACAGAAGCATCTGACACGCAAGAAACGTGATCTGGAAGGTCTTATAGCGGGTAATAGATGGAACATTAATAGGGTAACAGAGACATGGTGGGATGAATCCATTCAATGGATTGCACAAATGGAACGTTATAAACTATTTAGGAGAGACCGTATGGGAAGAAAAGCGAGTGATATTGCACTATATATATGCATCATTATTGAGACACAAGTGAGAGATGACATACAAAAGGGAAGAAGACACAGAATTACTTTGGGTAGAAACAAAAGACTGCAAAAAAGGTAAGCTATTACTGAAGGTTTGCTACAGAACCCCAAGTCAGGGTGAAAGCCTTGATCTGGAACGGTGGGTTGAGATAACAACAAGAACACGATTGCATTTATAGAGCTCCTTTCATTTCAGGAGGACGTCACAAGGCGCTGGATAGTAGGGTCGGGTCCCAAGCAGGGGGGAACTGGTCAGGCTGAGGGGAGGAAAGGGAAGGAGCGAGGACGTATAGAGAGTCGAGTGGGGGCTTAAGGCACGGTTCAAGAGAAAGTTCTTGAGACCGGCCTTGAAGGAGGAAAGGGAGGAAGCAAGGCTAAGGCACTGGGAAATTGAGTCCCAAAGCCTAGGGGCTGAGAGACTGAAGGCACGGCCACCGATGGCAGGGGGATTAAGGCGGGGGACGTGGAGCAGACCGGAGCCAGAGGAAAGGCGGGGACGGGAAGGTAAATAGGGGGATAGTAGGTCGGAGAGATAGGAGGCAGCGAGGCCGTCAATGGTCTTGTAGGTGAGGATGAGGATCTTGAATTCGATCCTCTGGAGGATGGAGAGCCACTGGAGGCGAGCGAGGGTGGGAGTGATGTGGTCCCGAAGCCTGGTGCGGGACAGTATACGAACTGCAGAGATCTGAATGACCTGCAGCTTGTGGAGGGAGATGCCGGGAAGGCCGGCGAGGAGAGAATTCCCGTAGTCCAGCATTGAGGTAGTAAAGGCGTGGACCAGAGTTTCAGCAGCGTGAGGGGTGAGGTAATGTCATAGTTTGGCGATGTTCCGGAGGTGGTGGACGACGGTGCCAGTTGTGGCGCGGATATGGGGAAGATCGGACAGCTCAGGGCCGAACAGAACACCAACGTTCCTGATTAGCTTTGAGAGGTAGAGAGTGCAGCTTTGGATGTTGATTTTGTGAGTGCCAGAGGTGCGGAGGCGCTGAGGCGAGCCAACCAGGAAGGCCTTAGTTTTGCGCACGTTGAGCTGAAGATAGTTGTCTCTCATCAAGGAATCGATGTCAGACAGGCAGGCTGTCAGGACCTCGGTGATCGTGGAGTTCAGGGTAGAAGAGGATGGGTATAATCCTCATACACGTGGAAGTTAACTCCATGTCTGCGATGATGCGACCAAGCGGGAGATTATAGAGTGTGAAGTTGAGGGACCGAGGACAGAGCCCTAAGGGAAGCCGCACTAGACAGTGTAAACGCCGTTTACAGAGACAAAATGAAGACGGTGGTAGAGGTACGAACTAAACCACTCAAGGACAGGGCCTTGAAGGTTGAAATGGGAGGACAAGCGGCGGAGGAGGATAGAGTAGTCGACCGTATCGAATGCGGGCGATAGGTCGCGGAGGTCGTGGAGGCAGAGGGAGTACTGGTCGCAGATGGTCAAGATATCAATAGTGACCTTGACCGGGACGGTTTCCGTGCTATGGACACCACGGAAACCCGACTGCAGGGGTTCAACTAGTGAATGGGTGGAGAAGAAAGAACGCAGCTGGAAGGCGATGTCCCTTTCGAGAACCTTGGACTCAAATGGAAGGTTGGAGATGGGCCGGTTGCTTGATAGCTCGACGCATCAAGGGAGGGCTTTTTAGTGTGGGAATGATGGTGGTAGTTTTGAGGGAAAAGGGAAAAGAGTCAGAGGAGAGGGACAAGTTAATTTTTTCTGTGAGCAGTGGGGCAAGGCGGTGTAGCTGGGAGATAAGGAGTGGAGTAGGTATGGGTCCAGGGAGCAGGTGATGGGTTTCAAGGACAGGATGAAGTTTGTGACAGAGGGTGGGAC